ATCGGAAGATCGCTGAAATTCAACAGCATATAGAGAATAACACGACTGAATGTAAATAATTAGATATACTTATACGTATGAATATTTTACCTTGCCATCAAGAACAGTGAATTTTACATGCAGTGGTCCTTCCCGTTCCACTTGTCCAATGTCTTTTACAACGCCAGTCGCTGCTTCTCGACCAGTACAAGTAGTATTTCCACTGAAAAAGTTCAACATGCATTTTTAACGCAACAATTATTATCCATTTGTTTAGATGACCGCGAAAACTGATTTTTAACTTTTTCCTTCAAATTAATTATACACGATAAAACTGCTACAAACAGAGCGAATTGAGCGAATAGAGCGAACGCGTTTGGACATTTTGACGGCAGTTTTCTTTTCCTGCTTGTCACCTTCAATCACAGAACTTTATTTCGCAGCAACAGTATCTACCAACTACAAACACAAATACAGCGAAATACAAGATATACAAAGACATTAACACGTGGTTTAACAAACACGAATGGTTAGTGATTAGTGATTAGAGACGAAGCAATCAAACCGTGGCGATGAAGTTATTAATAGGTTGTGATGGATTCAGTAACGAAGAGAAACGACGGACACGTTTATAACGAAGCCGCGATAGAAGACAAGACGGTTGCGAAAACAGAATGCAACATCTTTGTGCTTTTCTCAACATGTACTCTCCTCACCGATTAATATTTTTGTTTAAGCTCGTAGATTGAGTCACCTCCTCGAAGATGCGACGTAGCGATGCTATATCGTTTGGAAGTAACGGTAGCCGCCATCTCTTATGAATGCTGAAAATATGGACGGAGCCAAACTTGATGTATACTCGCGACTATTGTAATTACGACAGGCAAGTGGTCCACACCCCAAACACCGTACGAAGACTTTATACCCTCACATGACAGAGAATACGCGACATACATGGATAAACCTAGAGGAAAAGCTTCTTTCTATCGTGGAAGTGACCTCGACTTACCTTCTAGAGGTATGGATAATAGGCTCGGAATCGCTTAGTTCCAAATCACTGTCAACGTGGATTCGTTCGCCCCAAGTTGCTTTCAAGTAAGACACCCTTCTCGTTGCACGATCTTCATCTGCTGAAAATAGAAACAAAATAAACGAACACGGAACTTATTTATTAATTACTCTCTATCGATGACTGTATGCTTACCAATTTGCATATTCTTTTGTCGCCTGAACACAACTTCGTTATTGTGCATATCATTATCCGATGGCAGCACACCTTCAAATCATTCATGATCATTGACTAATCATACATAGATTCAATAGGCCGTTTGAGATAAGATTATCAAGATTCGAGATTCAATCGACAGAAAGAAAAGAATATAATATCGTGGAAAAACTAACCGTGTTCGGCTTTGACGATTTGCGCGTAACCATCCTGTTGCTGTTTTCTAGGTACTTTTTCAACAATTTTCTCGTTCCCGTCACACGTACTTGACCCATCAACATATACAAAATCGTCATTTTCATTTGTATCCCGCTTTCGTTCGCTATCGTTTTGTTCGGACCAATGAAGCTTTGCGGAGTTGGTCGTCGATTCCCATGATTCAGCACTATTGCTACGAACTCTTGGCCGTACCGTTTCCACATCTGTGATTTTCGAATTTTGTGTTTCTGCATAAGTTACGCGAAAATAACAGAACATTAGGACATTCTTAATACTGAAATAATATTTATAGTGTTAGTAAGTTATCTGTTTCTCAACGTTATGGCGATGAACACAGAGAAACGTATATGCCTGTTGAAACAAGTAAACCGCGTACTTGACCAAGAGAATGTAACAGCACAACATTAAAAGCTGTGCGTTGAACACTGGAACGGTAGAAATAACAGAATGGTTCGATTATGAAAGTAGAAGTGAAAATGGGAATGGAAAAGAGAGACAGGAAGGAAAATGCACCGGCAAACACAACATTTATCTAACTCGGATCTCTCTTCTACCTTCTAGCGTGTTATAGTTGACCGGTGGTTCGCAATGGATGTGCCTGCTGCCTACAGGAATTATTCTGTTTCCTTTTAATCCGTAACCTAAATATTCACAGTGGCATATTTAGAATGAATAACAATCACATGGATGATATTAAAAAGTATTATGTTTCGTTTTATTCATAATCCTACGTTTAACGATGCTGCCCAATTAACTAAATACTAATAAGAGGAAATACGACAAAAGAGAGGGCAAAAAGGAAAAAAGCAAATGGAAAAGCTTACCACTATCCAAGGACTTGGTTTCTCTAATTGATACGGATGGCACTCTTCTCGGTTCTTGAGCTTCGGCTTTCGATTCAAATTCTCTCTTCCGAACAGCAACATTTGGTACGCTACGTTTGTTAGATAATCTTGAGAGTTCGCTTTTGTAGAGATTCGTTCTATCACCGGTCGGTTCGTCGTCGTCGCTTAACAGTCGTCCCGACTCGAATTGTTTGGCTCGCTTTGATACGATTTGTAGCCCTTGTGGAAGCACCGGAAACTTATCATTTACCTTCTTTTCAAGTCCGGGAGACGAAGGTAAAGAAGAAGAACTGCTTTTTATATCCATAGATTGTCGTTCACAGGAGAGCAAAGCTCCTACGCTTGCGATGTTTTCATGTATCCTCGACAATGTTCCAACAAAGTTATTCGATTTGCCGATGTTTCGTTGTAATTGTTGCTGATGTTTATCAGACTCTTTCGAATCTGACAAATCGCGGCGATCTTCATAAACGGACGGAGTACTTAGACGATCACATATCGGTGCTACCATTTGTTGATGTACATGTTCCAAAGGATGAATCGTGTTAGAAGATTCTTCGATTTGTTCGTTCCGAGAAGTAAAATAGTCGATTTCTTCTACCGTACTACCGCTACTCTTCAATCTTTGTGCATTCTGGTTAGAAGAGGATTTATCTGACGCGAGTTTCCCAGAAAAGGTTCTGTTATCTTGAGTACATCTCGATGTAGACGGTTGTTGATCCTGTTTCGAATCATTCGGTGGCCAAATTTGTTTTTGAAGTTTTTGCGGCCTTGCATAAAATTCCCGCGGAATTACTGCCGCGCTACTGTTATTTCTAACAGGAGATTCTGGTCTTTCATCTGGTAGAAACCAACCAATCGGATGACTCGGCCTTCGCAAAAATTCTTCTTTCTGCTCGAAACTTTTGCGAATTCTCGTCATGATAATCGAGTCATCGATATTTGTACTTGCGATATTTATGCCGGTAGTAGACCCCGAGCTATTACCATTATTCATTCTGTACCCACTCAAATTTCCATTTCTATTCTCCGTTCTGCTTCCATTGGTTTCATTTCCGACTAGAGTACAACCGGACTCGAAAGACAACGGATCGTTAACATGAATTGGAGAAGAACCCCTCCTAGAATCGACACTAAATCTGGAAACGGGGTCGCAAGATTTAAGTGCATCGGTGCTAACGTAGCTTGTCGTTTCGAAATTATTGATTATCGAGCTACTAGTACTTCCTTCACTGGCACGCCGTGAACTCACTCTTCTTGTAGCAGGCCGATAAATAGGTACCTGTGGTTCTGCTCGAGATAACGGAGCACGCGTCAAACTCGGATGTTGTTGATGGGATTGATAATACTGTTGCTGTTTCTGCTGCTGCTGCTGCTGTTGCGGTGATTGTTGCTGTTGATGATGGCGTTCATCCATACTTGTCCGCATTGTTTCTCCGAATCGAACGCGTTCATATATCGGATCTTTGATCCTATCGTAAATTTGATCGCTGTTGGTTCTCGAATAAATAGACTCGGAACGCGTTCTATCATAAACGTCATACTTATCGTATTTTACATCTGGCTGTATCGATCTATCGTAAGACTGTATCATAGTTAAATTTGAAGCATCTTTTCCGGATTGTTGTTGCTGATTTCGTAATTTTACTTTGTCATCCATTATTTCATATCGACTAGCTACATCTTGCGAAGGTTTGCAACGATAAATTACATTTCTTGTTAATTGTAACTGCGTTTTACCATTATTCCCGGGCGTCTGTTGAATTTCTTCAGAAAAATCATTCGATCGAATTTCTTGATCTCGACTGGAAACACCGTCGTCGATCAATTGTCGAGTTGATTCTTGATCTTGACATAGCGACGTTGATATTGTACTCGGCGCGGAACAAACCCACGATTGCCTTGTTCTTGGCGATAAACCAGGAATCATACTGACAGATCTACGTTGCCTATGTCCAGTTCTTTCCGGAGAACGCAATCGCGGTCGTTGATTCGTTTCAGGATTATGTGCAGTCTCGCCAAAATATCTCTGCAAAATATCGTCTTCTTTGGAAACCACGAGAAGTCGTAACCAAGGTCCTGCCTGTTGAATACGTTGAACTACTTTCGCGTACTGTTCACCACGTGTAGGTCTTCCATCTACAGAAACGACTCGATCCCCTGTACGTAAACCTGCTTCTGCTGCTGGCGAATTTCCGCGTACCTGTTTCACGAATATCGTGTCCATCGGTTCGTCTATTCTCGTTCGTTCATGCCCTGGTAGCATCTAACGAAGATGAATTTTTTTTTTTTAAGCTGTAACACGTTGATTATACGAAATACTAGAATAAATCGAATTTAATACTTACGCAACAGGACTCGGGTGGATAAACGATAAAGTGACGTAGCGTAAAGCCAAAACCATTTTCACCTCGACGTAGCAATAATGTTCGTGGACCTCGCGGTGGTGAGTCGTCTCGACGAATGCCACCCGTTGTCGCTATCGTACCAGCGACCGTCCCGACTTCTGACACTGCTGAGAGTGTCGATGTCCCAGGTGGTGGCGAACCGTGTTCTGTCTGAAACAAATTCTATTCTTTTTCTTCTTCTAATCTCAAACAGCCGAATTCTGAGCTAGCACGTATATGTATAATAATTTTAACGAATAAATTTACATCGAAAACCAACCAGAAATTAAAGGGTTTGTCGCAGAAAAATCGCGACTGTAACCATTCTTTCCCAATTCTGGCTTCTTAACGTTTTCCATTTTTAATACATTCACGACAGATATCGAGAGAGAAAAGTTAATAGAAAAGAAGGTATAACATTTATTGAAATTGATATAACGATAACGATGAGGTACTATCAAGGATACAACAGAGACAACAGAATTCAACAAGGAAGAATAGAAAGTTGAAATAAACTGATAAAAAAGGTCTTGAAATGTGATAATGGGTAAACAAGTTTAAAAGGTTGAGATCTATATGTAAGATTTGTACAACGCTACGAAGTTAAGAGGCGAATGCATAAAGTGGAAAATCTTCCTCTTTAAATCTTGAGAAAATCGCATAGTCATCCGACTGTTTCGGTTTCTTCTCTTGCTACCCTCGTTAGAATCGCGAAAATTCGTTAGTCAGCTTCGCCCACTAAAATAAACCGAATCGAAGTTTGGCACGATCGTTTGGTTTTACGTACCGTATGCGCCTGCCCAACCAACCCTTGGGAATTATTTCGGTCCTCAGCCATTGTGCTGTTTCCTAAAAGCAACCAATAATGTAACATAATTGTAAATTCCTATTATTCGAAGAATGTATACTGTAATTTAAATTTAAGTAATTATCACAAGTGACCGAAAATCGAACTTGTTCCTGATATTCCTTGGCATTTAATTCTATATAAAATAAAAACTTTTACATGATTTCTTCACATATTTATAATATTTCCAGGAGTCGTATTCGCTTCTCAATCATACCATGTGCTATACGTATTGAAATTAATATACATACATAAGCACCGGTCGGCTGAGCAGCAAGCCATTCTACTTTCTCCGTAACGCGACATACTTTCTTGATATAATTTACTCAACTCGGAACAATGACTTTTAAAATTCTTTTTTATTTTTCGATCTCATTTATTTGTCGCAGGAAACGGGAGACGGGCGACGAGAAGAAGGGGCGGGGGTATGAAGACGAGGAAGAAAATGTGGATGTGGAGATCTGTTAGAGTAGCTTGTTACATCATTTTTAACCTTTTCTAAACATATCAGTCTGGAAACCTATCAAATTTTCTCGGAATCCTGTGAAAGTTTTGCACACGCAAAAGCACTGGATACAAGGCAACGAATCGTCATATCCTCTACAAATACATGTACGTACTGCATATGACGATACCGTTTCGAACAATGTTCGAAATGAGGGAATTAAACTAAAAGATCGTCCAATCTTGCTTTTGATGGAAACTTATGAAACATACACCTAAATATTAGTTTCTTCTTTACTTCGTTTTATCCGTTTGTCATCAAGTTAACCAATGCGTTATGTTCCTCGGCGCTTTCAATACATTTTTCCATTAAGCAACGACCTTCGGACAATTTCAATTCATTTCTTTTAAATTCATTCTTTAACTAAATCTACTCAACGAATCACTGCGGAATACATTGCTCATTTCCAAAAATACGTCGAACGATTCGTATCATTGATAAACGTATCAGTTGGGCGTTGTTTATCATTGCCGATCATGATTATTTTCATAAACGCGAGATAAGAAAGTGAGAATGTATTCCGTTATTTTCACTCGACTTACTTCATTCCTTACTTTATTTCCTTTTTATATTAACAGAGACCTATTTTCATAGACACATGTATATCTCCATTTTCATTCTCCGTCAAATGTCGCATAGTATTAGGTCGATGACTTTCAACTGATCGTTTACAATTACAACGTTGAATTCCTTCCAAATATAACCAATATTTGATTCGGTTTCATTGCAAATCATCTCTTAAGTAACAAGACCATTATTGCAGAGAATACGACAAATGGCTAAAATAATATAAGTAAAAAATACAATTCTATTGTAACATTACGTTATTAATTTTCAATGATTATACATGTATCTACACGATTATGTAAAATCATCGCTAAATGAAAAAGAGTATATCGTTAAAAAATGCATATGAGAATACATGCGTTTGAAAAATCAAGCAGGAGGGAAGCAGGAAAGAAGACAGACGCGCTCGCGCGCGTGTGCGAGCATGCAACCGAGTGAGTACGTGAACCAACGAGCTAGTGAGATGAGCGAGCAAGAAAGTGAATTGGTCAGAGAGAGAGAAAGAGAGAGAGAAAAAGAGAGAGAGAGAGAGAGAGAGAGAGAGAGAGAAAGAGAGAGTCACTAAACCTACACCGAGTACACACCTCAAGTAGGAAGTGTCGCGCATCGAGTGCTCGCAGCGCCCCTGTCGTTGTTCCTTCGTTTTCCCTGATACGGGGATAAATTAATTGGTGCTATGAAATTGAGTTCGTCCTTTTGTCTTTTTTCTTCCCTCTTAAAGAGTTCATCCGCACCAACTATGCACGAACAAATCGAAAAAAGTAATGTCAGATAGTGTGCTCCTAGCAAGATGCTCGTCATAAAAGATGTGTCGGCGGGCGATAAACTTCGTTTTCGAATACATAATCCTCTTCGTAATAAACGTTTTGTCAAAATTATCCTTTATATCGATGCATATCCAAATAGACGATTCGTAAATAGATAAAGCAAGCGTACAGTAGAATCATAATTATAAATGGACAGTACACGTATTCGGACAATCACTTTAGTACACTAGTTACCGACATTTTTCCTCTTGGTTTATTCTTGAGAATAACCAGCCGACCGTCTTCCACAAACGCACCTCATGTCAATTGAATCGACGCTTCGATTCACTCACACTATAGGTTAACTGAAAGAATTTGTACAAACCATAATGTGGATTGTGTTTTCAATTTTGGTCAAATACAATGATATACTGAATTACTTTAATATATCTATGGAATTTTTGTACAAAAGTGATAACGTTCACGGCACAATTCGATACTACACGGCACGACACAGTAATATGGCGACCTAAGAGGATCGAGCACACTGACGACAGCAAAGTCCGTAAAGATAGCCGTCATTGGAAATAGAGAAGAAGTAACGTTCAATGTACTTTGCGATACTGTTGCACGATTTGTAGTAATTTAATTTTCAACTACCGTGAAAAATGTGTCACGAAACACTACTTTTGTGCCCGCCATTATTCTAACCGTCTTCCTCTACTTTTAACCTTTTCTTTCTTCTGTACTTCTTCCTCTTCTTTCCACTACGGGCCATCCTCAGTGCCCCACCATGTAATACCAATCGCTCTCTTTCGCCTCTCTTCACTATCATGCAATCCTTATTCGACTCACCTTGTTTTGCTAAAGCGTATGTTTGCGACATCTATACGCTAAATACACAACACGGTATAATACCGATCATTGGGAATAGATGTTCAGAATCGGTAAATTTTATTATAAACGAAATATATTCGTTGCGGACAATAGTCAGTGGTACAAACTAGACCGATTACCACATGTTAGATTAACGTATAGAATAGATCTATTATCCTATACATTTTTCTAATCCAAAGTTTCAAGGTGTCCCTTACCATTTTAATGTCATTTTCAACGTTATCGATTCATGATAATGCAGCGTCCTAATCATAAACTAAATTTAAACATTGATAATTTAATAGCGGCACCAAATTAAAACTATTATATTTCCGATATTTCTTTTTATTTTTATACGTTTCAACTGCATAAACAAATTTTCATTTTCTCTTTTACTGATCCATTACTCGAATAAACACGATGTACCTCTCTTCTTACCTGCGAAGATAAATTATTAGAACTTATCCTGTATGTTAATTTAGGTATACCTAGGAGTTTGCTATAAACGATATAAATAATGCGATGAACCAGCACTAGACTTACAGTTATTTTAGTCTGCTCGTCGAATCAGTATACAATGAGATATAAATTTGTTGCAACGTATAATTTCAAGAATCAATGAAACGTGAAATACAAATGTATAAATATAAACGTGTATGTGTTTCATGTTCTTATTTTATTTTTCTCAGACAATTCCGTCATGTTGTTTCATTCTTGTAGATTTGTACATACATCTTTAATTACGAAAAGCTATGATCCTTGGATAGCAGTGTTTAAAAAATTTTTAATTATAATACGAATTAAGATTTTCACATATGTTCATTTCTGAATAGTTCCATATAGCTTATATGGAATTAATATATGGAAAGTTTGCTTAAAGAAAGGGAAAACGATTGTAAAAGTATTTCAACCACTTTTGTTTTCATTATTATTATTATGCAATACATTATACAAGAATCAGTGTTACGACAGAAACTTTGTTCATTTCCATCTGCAACGATTCCATAGACATATGCAAGCAAGAATGTGAAAGACGAGATAGATAATAAGCATTAATATCATATTCATCCAGAAATTACTTTCGTCGAAATCGTAGCGATGCAGAACTTGAATTCCTTCGGTGATACAAGGTAATTCAGGATTAGTTATTTCACAAGCTAGAAAAATATACGAACGATCGATCAACTGTTTTTCGCTTTCATATTCATATATATATAGAAATTGAATATTTATTTATTTATGCACTTATCTACGTTTGAGGTCTATGCACGTTAATAGGATAAAACTTACATATATTATGTACGCCGTTCCATTGCAAAATAGTAAGAGCTTCGCTAGAATGTAGCAACCAGGAAATATATTTTACCCATCGAATGTATAATGGTAATGTTCTAAAATATGTTATACATGAGTTGATACGTTTCACATTAATTTTCTCTCTCTTTCTCCCTCTCTCTCTCTCTCGCACAATTATCTTACTAGCTAGGTGAAATAAGCTGTAATTAAAAATACCCAAGTTTGAGGAAGGGGCCCATAGTAATCATAAGAATATAATCAAACGGTATAAGATAAGCCATTGCTAATGGTACGCTTCCAAATGCCGTTGAAAAGAAGCATCCTGAAATTTATTTGCGTTAGTTATATTTAAATTCTCTACTAATTCTTATTTCTCAATTCTGAGAGAATTAAGTAAAGTTTTACCACAAGCGGTTGACACGTTTATAGTAAGTAGAAGAACGAGTAACGTGAGTGCAAAAGTTTCAACGTTATCTCGCAATCCAGCTAACCAGTATATGACACTTGTGAATAATAATGGTTCCACGATTAAGCCAGGTATCTGCAATCCGTATATTCACGTTTTCAATTATTTCCACACTGATCTAAAATTGAAAGAATCATTTGAAGGAAAAGGAATTTATCATTGATTACTTTTACTTGCCAAGGAAAGTATACGAGCAGTATAGTACAAATAAACCGGATACATTCCAGCTCGGTACTCTCTTCGAAGAAGTGGTAGTTCCTGTGGTATCAAAGCTAATGTAGCATACATAGGGAAAAATGCGTTCTCGGATACCAGGATAAAAATGACACCTTGCGTAGCTTGAATCCCTAGTTGATCGAAATTTACAGAACCCACGAAACACAAGCCAGCGATTGTTGCAACGCTCTGTCAAATTTGTTACGATAACTATAATTACTGCAACGTTAACTACAACAATTACTAATACATTATAATAAAGTTATAATCTCTGGCGACGATTGACGATAGTGTTACTCGAGATTGTATAGCTCTTGATTTTTTCAAAATTTTTCACTCGTGCAATCACTTACCACTTTCTGAAGTATTCTAATAACTTGCACCGATGGATCTCTTAAAATTTGCAGAAAATCTCGATAAAGCAACCAGTAAAGCCGTGTAAAGCAATATCGTGCTTGTTTTCTCCTATATGTAGGGCTTATATATACATACAACGCTATTAAACACCGGTAATGCATAAAGTCTCGTTAAATACTCACATAATAAATTTATTATCGAAAATTAATTTCGACGTAGGCTAAAATAATAAAATGTTTATTTTACTGCTGCTTCAGTCGTGAACATTTGTTACCGTAGTATTCGAACGAGATAAAGAAGAATAAAAGATTCTTACATTTAGAGAAGGTACGGACTGCATTTGTTTCTCTAAAATACGATCAATTTCGTTAGAAGCCTGACTAATTAAGAAAACATCGCATATCTTGCGAGCAACTTCTTCGCTATTCGCGTCATTCTTTGAATCCGTGGCCACAGTCGCTATCAGGAAATCAGCTGGATTATATTTCCGTGGACACTCGTATCCCTGACTGAGGAGTGAATCAATTGGATGATAAAAAATAATTGTTAGATTGGAAACGTACCTTGCGAAAAATTCCATTGCCTGGTCTATTCGACCTGCAAATGCAACCCGTCCTTCGGCAATTAATATTATTCGATCAAAGGAATTAAATATGGTAGAACTTGGTTGATGTATGGTACATAACACCGTTCGTCCTCCCGCAACGAACGATTTCAACTGAGAAACAAGGCAATTTGCCGAATGAGAGTCTTGACCAGTTGTCGGTTCGTCCAAGAATAATATCTTTGGATCTGTTAACAACTGAAGAAGAAGCATTCGTAAATAGGGAATCGATATACGTGAACAATACGGAAACGATAACTGGCGGAAGAAAAGTAAGAAAAAGACTTAATTAAATGCTACAACTAAATGCTACAGGACACGTGTCGCTTGAAAGAAAGATTAATAGAAATATGAAATAGAATGATCGTGTATCATACTTCCGTGGCAAAGGATAACCTCTTTTTTTCACCACCAGACAATACTTTGTCATCGATGTCATTACCAATTCGTACATCGCGTCTATTTGTTAAGCCAACATCTTTTAACAAATCGTCGATTTTTCTTCGAATATCCAATAGTTGCATCCCCCCGTCGAGTTTCATTCGAGCCTGTATCGAAAACACACGAGCAAGGTGTAAGAAATAAAATCGTACGCAAAGAATGTATCTTAATACCATCATACATCTCAATACCATAAACCAAAGATGTTCAACCACTGTCATCGTAGCGACAAATATATCTTCTTGATGCATGTAACCACTGTTCTGCATCATGTAAGAAGAATCGACTTTCATTCCGTTTGCTCGTATATCTCCATGAATTAAAAGTTCGGCTATAAAGAATCGAAGATCAGGATAAAGCGAAAGGGCTTGTATCAAGTGGACAAGCAGAAATAAAGAGAAAGAGGGAAATGTAGTAACGTGTAAACATTTACATCCGGTACGAAAGGCCAATGCCGCCATCAATGAACTTTTGCCAGCACCACTGGATTAAAGCATAAATTTAATAAAAATTCATATTTCGATTATATTTCGTTGAATTTATGAAAAATTTATTAATAAAATCTTACCTCGCACCGATTATTGCCGTCAGATTACCAGGTTCCGCTGCACCCCGTACTGAAATTGATGACAACTCGATTAAATTCGACGAGGTAAGTATTTATCCTGTAACAAGTAAGTTGCACTTGTCACAAGAGCCAAATTACATACCATTATTGATTAGTTGCTTGCATACATTTCTCCTTCTACGATCCATGGTGTATACGGAAAGATCCTTCCATGTAAGTGTCACACCTTTCAAACAAGTCGCATTCTCTTCTACACGATGCTCTTGATTCTTGCGGACCCACTGATTTTCGTTTAAGGCGTACATACCGATCAGCAAAAGAACTTTGATTTACTTATCTTCATCTACGTTTTAGAAGAAATACAACCGACCGACCGACCGACCGACCGAACAGTCACGATTGAACCGAGTTACACCGTGAATGAGATTGTCACTGAACCCACTGCTACACCATAGCTCTTGTATTACCGCTCGATCCATGAGTGTTTCGCTTTCCTCTGTTACTTATCTTACTTTTCACTGCAAATAATGTACGAGTTTCAAACGTACACATAATCCGAATATCACCTACCATTCTTATTCATTCGATGACAAATATATTTCAAATTTTTATTTCATTCGTATTCATTCGTATCTCATTCGTACAAGAGAACTAACGAACGGTTGTCGAAAAAGGTTTCGATTAAAAGAAGCTAATACATACGTACATGCTAAAACATTTGAAACATCGGACGAGAGATGAGATCTTAATATGGCAAGAATACATATACGTACATATGTGTACCCAGGAAGCAAACAATGTATAGAATTGAAATTATTTCGTCTAAGCCACAAGTGTACTACAAGTTGCCTAATAATAAACTGTTAAATAAATATAATGTGAAAGTAGACCCGGAAGTGCAAGAAGAAACCAGAGATTCGATGTATTACAGTAATCGAATATGGAAACCTTATACATACGTGTCTCGTACGAGTCACACAAGTATTCCTAGCCTATGCATCATATGCCTTTTCTATTCATATGCATGCATCTTATGCACGGATTTTGGATTTTCTCCGAAAGTAACTTTTATTTCTTCCTTACGTTTCACGACATGATTGTCGCGTCAGTTTTCTCTAATTTCGAAAATCGAAATATAAAATGCTTTAAAAGAAGATTGAACAACAAATTTATTTACGTTATTGCGTCAGTTAAATTATACGACAGAATCATAACGCAAAATAATAAGTTTATTCTTCGAATTTTCGGATTTTAAGAGAAGCATAGGTAATAAGTACCTACGTGCTAACTTATGCTTCGTTATTATTTATTTTCTACGTATACGCGCTCACACGGTATGAATAACAACCGGTTTGTTAATGATATCTGAGCCTACAACTGGAAGGGTGGCCACAACGATGTGTCTATTCCTTACCGTCCACCGCTTGTCACCTACAACAGTTAACAGGAAATACCAAACATCGAGCCAAGCTCGAATTGCGTTCAATCTTGGGTATCTAGTCACTGTTCTTTTTCTTTTTTTTCTATTCCTTTTCTTCTTTACTTCTCCCCTGCCGTGCCTTCTCTTTTCTTCCTATTTTTCCCTTTTCCACTGCTTCCTTTTCTGCGGTAAACGCATATGGCTGGCAGCAAAACAGGAGCAACATGGACAAGACTGTAAGAAATATCAAACGCATTTTTTCCAGAACGTTTTTCATTTACGACAAAATACTGACGCAAAGTACTGTACCTCAAGGTTGCTTTTGACCTTTTCCGAGTACCTACGACACCTCGAATAATGCCAATAAATTATTTTCAGAAGTAAGCGAAGAGATATGAATGTTTATATTACGTGACTTTCTACGATATACAGTGTTCCCTCGAATAAATGACACAAAATAATTTCAATGCCTTTAATAAGATCATACACATTACGAGAACATTAAAATTAATCATTCACCTATCGTATACAGAGTAAGTAAAATTATGAAGAAACGAAAGAAGGCTATCCAACGAAAAACGGCACTACTTGTGCGCGGTTCTTGGTGTGACAGCAACGGCAGCAATTATCAAATATCAACAGCAATCTTTATGTATGCAGCATGTTTCCTTTTCTATCTCTGTTTCGAATTGCGCCAAGTCTTTGACAACAGAGCCATAAACGCTAAAAAACGAAAGGCGATAATTAAGGAGAAGAGACACGCGATGTCGGTCCAGAAATGTTCCTAAAACCAAAAACAAATTGTGAATATATATAAAATACGTAAAATATATAAAAATATAGGAGAATATATAAAAAGGTAAACAGTGATAGTGAGATAGGTATAAAAGTAAAAGTAACAAATATAATACTTTGAGTATCGAAGTATTATATATTGCGAACCTGCTTGAAATTGAATGTTTGCAAAACCATTCGACCAGTTTTGGGGCAAGTTGCATTGCTTCTCGTGCACGCTATAGTCTCCACCTCTGACCACTGATTGATAAGAAGGGCCTCGTTACCGTAACGAAACCAAGATAAATAGGAAAACCATTCAAAATAGAATGGGACCGATCTGAAAGATATCGTACATGAATTATTTATTGTACATATGTATACAGATTCGACATATACACTTAAATGCGTAAAATATGTATCTCGTTTGATACATATTAAGTTAATTATATTATTTGAATATATTACGCCGTATTTAGAAAAAATCCGCCGAATAATAAAAACGGTATTATCACTGGTGGTCCGATGGATAACGCCATAGATAAGTTGTTGCTAACGCAAGATATCAGATAACCTGAAGAATATGAATAAATATGAAAGTATTTAGAAAAATATGGCAACGATAAATGTGGTAGAACTGTAGATGCGGTATAAGATGGTATTCTCACCAAAAGACGTCGAGACATTTGCGACAAGAGCAACGATGCCAGCAGTAATGAAAAAGTGATCGATTCCCGGATACAATCCAATCATAGGATAAGCGATAACAGTGAAGAGAAACGGAACTGCTACGAAGATGGGTGCTTCTGCGAGTGTCTTACATAGAAAGTACACATCGGTACGATACATACCATTTCGATTTTCCCGTAGAAATATCGGCAATTCTGCGCAGAAAACCTGTGCAAAAACGGAATGCAAATTAACGGTATAGCCTTTATCGTTAGTAAACAATCGTTAACGTTATTTTTATATAAAGAAATGGAATTTTACATTGATTACGGCAAAAACGTTCTGGAAAGTCATGTTTGTGAGAAATATGAACAAAGCACCATTGATATTCATTACTCCATCTTGATTTAATTTTTGATCGAAGTAAATAATACCGATCAATAGAGACACCATCTAGAAGAAATTATACGCTACATTTTAGAAAGTAACGATTATCGCTACGATACTGTATTCTTCTTTTATCTTTTTCTCTCCTTCTTTTTTCTTTTTTTTCTTTTTTTACTTTTTTTTCCTTCTTTTCCTACAATAATACCTACGACAGTCTGTAATAGGCGAACTTTAATAAGGATCGGTTCTTTGATAACCGATAGCCAAGAACGCCAGAGAACAGCGCGAAATTGTTCGCACCAGCTTGCTTTATACAACGATCGATTTTTAGAATATTTCGAATCTCGTAAAGAATCCTCATATTCACCGTTTATTGCCTCTGCCTCTAATGCAATTTTAATACCATGTTCGCTCTTTTGGAAGGCATCGCACACGGTATTTATCGCATGACGACAGGATATCTCCTGTCCTGGTACAACCGCTAACATTTGAACAAAATAATCCGCCGGGTTATAATTACTGGGGCAAGCAGCACCAAGCCTGCAAAACATCGTTCAACTATTTTGAAAAATAACGAACAACAACTGCGGAGGAAACGTGCAAGACGTGAAAATAAATTCGTGCAAGGATAGAGATATGTGTATGTCTGTGTACAGATATATATCTTAATTACTTACGCCTCGAAAAAGGTGCAAGCTTGCGATGTTGTACCCATAAAGGCCACTCTTCCCTCCGCCATTAATAAAATTCTATCAAAGAGTGCGAACAATTCTGACGAAGGCTGGTGCAAAGTAGCGACGACTGTCTTACCACGAGCTAGGACATCACGAGTGTGTTTCATCAACGTTCCTTATAGCTGTATTTCATGAATTTTCAACCATCTTATGCCACGTATCTACATCGTCAACTTACCGGCTAGAGCTTTCAACACGGAAACTACTTGATGTGCCATAAAAGAATCAAGGCCCGATGTAGGCTCGTCGCAAAACATTAACGGCGGATCGGTAAGAACTTCTGACGCGAACGATAATCTTTTCATTTCACCTCCGGAAAGGCCTTTGATCCTTCCCGGCTGACCAATTACCGTATTCTTGCATTTGGTTAGAGCAAGCTGAAATACAAAAAGAAATACAGGCTCGTATGCTCGAGCTCGATCTAGAAGAGGACGCCATATAGAACTACTATGCGTATAGATCGTGTATTATGTAAGTACTTTTACGATATACCTCGTTGATCACTCGGTGTACACGATCGAATCTCTGCTCCATAGGTATCCTTCGATCCATGCGAACCATAGCTTGAAACAAAAGATGTTCCTTAACGGTCAATGTGCCGACGAATAGATCGTCCTGTTGCACGTATGCAGTTCTCGACGTCAATATCGTAGAAGATACTCTTCGTCCGTTGGCCGCCATCACACCGGATGCTATTACTCCGCAATTCGAGCGAAACGTTAAAGCGTTCAATAACGTTGTTTTACCTGAGCCCGATGATCCCATAATTACCAATAGTTCACCCGGATATGCTACGCCGCATACTGTAACAAAATTTTACCGTTTTAAAACTGATTAAAGCGATTAGAATTGTTTAGGAACAACGTGATATCGCAGCAAAGCAACGGTCTAGACCAATCGTACGAATGTTCTTTTCAATTATTTCAACTGATTCTGTTCCTAAATTTCGTTCCAATTCTCTTTCGTGTGTCGAAACCCTGCCTTTTCCATCTTCTTTAAGTATCTATTTTATGCACGTACCGTCCTTTAATAGATGCCTTCGTTCTATCGTTTTCCTTCTCGCCAGAAAAATATCCCATGGCTTTTCATTCACTTTAGCCGCATATACGTTCAAGTCGCTCCATGTATACGTAATTGATTCATTTTCAGTATTTCCGTTAGAATGTGGTGTTAATGCCGTCGTTAACAACGGAGATACCACTGTGCTCGAAGAAGGTAATATAGACTTTAATTTGAACGACGATGTATCGAAACCTATACTACACGATGTTGCACTTCTTTCACTACCTTCCTGCGGTCAAGCGAGAATATATTAAAAAATCGTGAAAATAGAGTATACGGGAAAAGAGAAGAGAGTAGAAATAGAAGAGGATTAAAAATATGAATTCGTTCCGTTTTATTTTGTTAATTCTATCTCAGCTTTTCTACGAAATACCGTTTCAAAATAACATCAAGGGAAATAATCCTAGCAAAGCCGTAAAACATCGAGGAAGCCATGCATATGATCGTAATCTTCGTTCAAACATTGAACGAAGCCAAATGTTTACCCCACGAATAGCATTCTACTTACTTGCGCGATTTCCAATAAATTTTCGACAAATAGCACGAAAATTTCACCAAATTGTTCAATAGATATTTTGCTTACCAATGAAATTGCATCGTATGAAACTGTTTGCGGTTTATTTCCACAGATGGTTAAACCTCTTGATGAAATTAGGGGTTCAGTTTCTTCTGTGGCAGTCATTTTCTTCTCTATTCCGTTTCAATTTCTCATCAATTTTCAATTTATAATTCTCCTTCGAATCCTCCTGGGAGTACACGTAACACCGGGCATAGATGTATAAATAAAATACCGATCAACTCGTAATTAAACAGACATCCTTTTTACATATTATCGTATATTCTAACATCTATTGCGATCCAACCGGTTTCCACCGACCGCGAATGCACACAGATCGTAATCCTTTGTTTAACACGCGATAAAGAACGATGATAATTCCATATAATCCTTTCCTCGGAGGTCACGCCTGGTATCGGACATGCAATTTCTTTGTGCTTGTTGATCGATGTCCATTTGAAAATTTCAAAAGAATTAATGCATTTTTGCTTGCTCTAATGTATGATGTACTTCGGTGAACATCGAATCGTCGTTGAAATCAACACGTTTCGAAAGAGATACTGTTCGATGTATTTGACTCTGTGCACGGCAAGGTAGAACTTAGATACGAAGTTGCCGCAAACGACGTACATAACATTCCCGGTTTGCCAGTCGTCTCCCACCTACTGTCTTCCGTCTCCATCCGTTCTTCCGTCGCTTCGTGTCAACTTATGTAACGTGACTCCAGTGATCCACGAGCTTACCGACAATGAGACTGACCAATAATAAAGTAAAAGAATCCACACGACGACCTTGTCCACGTTATTACATTCCATATAATCATACTCTTTCATTCTTTTTTATCATATACTCATATTGTCTTCAAATTCGTACATTACCATCCTTTATTTGCTTAAAAGCCTTTTGTTTCCAACTTAACATTTGCATTCAAAAAATGGTGCTACACGTGTTACTATAATTGTATCGTAAGTAAAAGTTATTTCAAATATATATATATATATATGTATGTATATGCAACTCGAAAATACGAAACATGTTACATCTATCTAGCCTCGTATTATGCGCCATAAGTAAAATATTTTCTTTTTCTCTCCTTTACTTGTACTTTTCTTTTACTTCCTTTCTTTCTCTCAACGATCAAACGTTTAACAAAAAAAGAAAAAAAAATATGAATATCAAATTCGTTTAATACAGGTATTACGCAAATAAAAGAAGAGATGAAGAATAACTTCGTTTATTACAATTGATACAATAGTATTTCAGAGTTCGGAAATTTTGAAGATTGTTTGGAATTTCTTCCAACTCTCGGAGCATTTCTTGTTACAATCGAAGGATTATAAGAGTGCCAGTAGAATGGCACAGCTACGATACTACGAGGATCTGGTGCGACGAGTGAAATGTCTTCAAATATTCCTTTCAAATGCACGCCTATGTTTTGTTTGTGAGAATCCCGCGTTCGCAATGTTAACCAATGATATGTACTATATACGTATTCCGCTTCTATTCTCCGTCCACCTGTTAAAAGTGGCAGACAGAGAAAGGGGAAAAGGTATACTGAATGAATGAATAAACAATTGAATGTTTGCGTGCGTAGTGACTATAAATGTGCGAGATAGAAAAAGAAAAAAAATGGAGGAAGGAAGGAAGGGAGGAAGGAAAAAAGGATGAAAGGGAAGGAAGGAAGGAAGGAAGGAAGGAAGGAAGGAAGGAAGGAAGGAAGGAAGGAAAAAAAAAGGAAAAAAAGAAATAACAATGAGAAGGGCGGGTGGACAAGGATGCATACGTATGCGTTGCACGCGTTACTGTCACGACAATGACGAAAACAGCTGTTGATGATCAACAGCGACAAATCACTCTATGTTTTACATCTTTTCTTTGCGCCGAATGTATTCTCTTCGACGAAAATGTCCATTATCGGGCTCCAGTTATGTATATTCCGACATAAATACGATCCGATGACACTCGTATGTCGATAAATGTGCCCATCGAATTCATTCGTCTCGTTCCACTTCATTTGGTTGAATCGTTTCCATTCACGTTGTTTTATTGTTTTTCGACATGTTATGAGAGGCCCAATTTAACGAAGTTTTCCACGAATTGCAAAGAGCTTCGTCAAATTTGCTTCTAAAGTGCTTTTGTGCCTCACTTTCAGACATCTCAAGTACCTAATTTCAAAAAATTGGAATAATACACAAATATTTACTTTACAATCAAACAGGGAAAAGCAGAAAAAGAAGGGGAGGAGAGGGAGAGGCAGAGGGGAGAGGGAAAGGGGGAGGGGGGAAGAACAAAATACTAATAACATACCAAAGTGTCTCTTAAATAGTTAAGATCTTTTTCCGACGATAATTCAGGTAATCCTGTTGATATCATCATAGCAAACAACGATAATATTAGACCTCCGTGTTGCCGTAGGACGAGAAAAGCTTGTTCGCAATGACTTTGAAAACGCTGAAATTCAACTGCTTGACCTTTTTTCGTCTGACCTTTGTTTATTACATGCACGAAATCATTAGTTAATACAAAGGGTACACGTTCCCGTCTAAATCCAAATTTTTCTTTAAAGTGTCCAAGTATGTGACCAAAGTCAACGTGAAATAATTGACCCGTCTTTTTCACCATTATATTATCCGAATGTCTATCCGCAATTCCAAGAACATATGTAGCGACACAATAACCTGCGCAACTTAATGTGAATTCCTCGATAGCTCTATTCAACGCTGCCTCGGTATGATTATGATCTTTTAGCCAAGCGAGCAAAGATCCTCGCCTATAAAGATACATACCCAATTGGAAAAATATAATATGTATAATATATAAAACGTTTTCTCATTGTATCATAAACATGAGAATTTTTATTTAAATATACCTAAAGGCAGCGGTAGCTGAGAAAGTACCCTTCTCCTTCTGAATATTTGCAATTGTTTCTGCATTTAAAACTACTTCGATCATGCCGACTCTATTCTCCGTTGATATGCAACCATAGGGATTCATGCGTAAATCCAAACCCTCTCTTTTCCACAATTTATCCATAATTCGTAACATTTGCAACGTAAGCATATCTTGTCTCAAGTCATCTCCATGTTTGAGTATCAAGTAAATATCATCGCCTAATGGATCGGCATTTTCGAAAACTAGCCAAAGTGGTCGCATTTTACTGTCCATTACTCTACATTTTTCGATTCTGCAAGTCATTAATATTTGTACAAATTCGACCAATATTTCTTCAATTCCACCTTAATGTAAACACTTACTTAATGCGTTTCCATCGAAAACTCGGATCCAAAGGATTTAAAACGTTCGACAGTGCTTCTTGACAATGGGGTTCCTGAATAAATTCTTGAAAACCTTGTAACGCTGCTTTCCGGTCTTTTCGTTGTTTTATTTGTTCCGAAGCACATTTCAATTTACCCAAGCATTCCATTTGTTTAAACAACGATCTCATGTGCTGTTGGCTTCCTCTACAGTAAGCTTCTAATATTAAACCAAAACGAACCGACACAGCACCCACTTGCATCTCTGATCTAACAAAAGAGCAAAGATAGTTAGAGAAATTATAAATAAGAGCTGCTTTATTCTACAATTATAGACTGCAAAAAGATACGAAACGGGAGAAGAAAGTGCAACAATTGAAACAGAGAATATACTAACCTAAGATGCCAGAACAAAAAGTGACCAATTCTTCGATTGTTAAGTGCACGCCTTAGTAGAAATTCCGTCAGATCACAGGATAAATAATTTTCGTGTTTTAACGCTTGTGCCAACTGCAATAGATAAAGGCTCAAATCTTCATCGCTGACATCCATTAAACAACGCACAGCAAAACTCCGAACATTTTGATCGGCGTAAGCATAATCCAATAATTCAAGTGCCTTTTCGACGGGTAATTTGGGCCACTGTTGCACCAGCGCCGTAGCTTCAGCTACTTCCCTGTATACGTCGAGAATCGGAAAGTAGATTTAAACGTTCTCTTTTTCTATGAAAATGGACGATGTTAAAATAACTCCTATCATTTGGTATTTCGAATATTTAGATTTTCACCTATGATCATTCCATTCCACACAGTGCAACAACTTGGCCAATAGCGTGGGAATCTCAAGAAGACAGTGATGCCTTAACGCCCACATTATCTTTCGTTCTTGCTCGTGAAGTTCGTGTAACGGATCTCTGTCTGCTAATAATCGAAGTTGTTCAAGTTGCTGAAGCTTACCGACGTCGGACTCTTGATCGGGTTCTTCTTGAATCGAACGTTCAGTAGATGATTCTCGTAACTTTCTCGCGTATTCCACCATTTTCTCCGGAGTTGGATAAAGAACCGACTTCTCTTTCCCATAGCTAACGTGGATCAAATATAAAGACAGATAGACAGCTCGAATATACAAAATGACGGTAAGGGAAAGAAAAGGAGACTTTTGGAGAAACATAGAAAACAAGAATATAGACAAATAAAAAGAAAAAGGAAAAGGAAAGAAAAGAAATGAAAAAAGAAACAAAACTTACTTTGGAAATGTCAACATTAAAGCAGCCGCTCTATCTATATGAGGATTTGACACTACCGTTCCGAGAGGATGTAGAAGATCGTCGTTTTGCATGTCCTCGGCATATGTCCATGTATAGAGTGTCATCGCTCCCGTTTTCAATTGAGATTTAAAGTCATATATAGTTGTGTTAGCCCAACATAACGGATTTATAAAAAACTCTTGTTTGGTATCTTTAACTAATCTACGACTTTTCAGTCCTTTTGCAGTCTTACTGATTTCATATAGGACAAAACACAGCCTAGCCATTCGTGGTATATCCCGCACTTTTATATCAAACCTCAACGTTTCTTCCCATTCACAACTGCCGTCGGAATTAACGACAGTTTCTTTAGTCTTTTGACTTTCGCATAGAGATTTTCCACCATGAAAAAGACCAGCTTGCAAACCAATCTACACAAATAAGAATCATCAAAAATATAAAAATTAGCTGTTTAAAAGATATAAAAAAACGAATGACAACTAACTCATAATAATGCATAATTATACCTCAACGGTGCGATGGGCTGCATCGCAATTTAATCGTGAAATCGCGTTGACAGTAAAAACAAACGGTTCCTCTATCTTCCAAGCAGATATATGTTTACCCTTTTTACGTAGGGTTAGCGTAGAAAAAGAAGGCCTTGTACGTTGCAAAGTATCTGCCTCCACATTCTCCGCCGTATTTTCTTGATCAACAGAGACACTATCTCTGTTTAGAGTAACTAATGTAGGAATAATATCTTTTGCTAGGCAATCTTGAATATAACTAAACTGTATTAAAGGATAATCTCCTATTAAATACTCTTCTTGACCGCAAACTTTCAGAGTAAAATCATTCGGGTATCCTTTGGACATTAAAGTGTTCGCTCGTTTATTTAAAATAGACACCAATAATTGATATGGAGTCGTAGTATGTGATATTTGAAACGTAAAGGCCGTCTGAAATCAAATTGTTATTTGGAAAAGTTATATGTGTCTTTTAAACTGGTAATATAACTTCTATTCTTCACATTTTAACTTGTTTAAATTGTCTAATGTTTTTCCCGCCCTTTGATATACCGCCAGAATGAGATAGGAAATAAGGATAAAAGAAATAAGAAGGAGGGGGAAACAAAGATGGAAAGAAGGAGAAATAGAAAATTGAAATAAAGGGAAATCAACACAGAGGTTTAGATTCTTTACGTATGAATTCTAATTCGAAATATAAAAAAAGAAAAAAGAGAAAGAAAAAAAACGGATTGCAAGTGTAAGACGTATGTGTTTAATTTTGGGTAACGTCCATCGCAATTCTGTTTATAAATTTGAATGTACAGAACGAAACTTAACCTTAAAATATGTCGACGCAAAATTCAATAAACGAGGAGTACAATGAAGAATATTTCGAGAATTCTGAAGGATTCAGTTCCTATAACCTATTAAAAGTTGAATACGAAAAATGCAAACAAGAGATTTATGATTTAAAACGAAAACTTCAATTAAACGAAACAATGCTACGGGAGGTTCAAGAGACAAATGAATTGCTTGAACGTTCTCTTGATCGACGAATTTCCGAGAAAGAACAAATTGTTTCTGAAGTCGAAGAAAAGTAAATCAGCGAAACTTTTAAAATGAAAGTCACTTATTAATCATGCCCTCTGTATCATCTGTACTTTTTCTTTTTAGGCACCGCATACTTGCAAAAGGATATGAGAACACAATTACAAATCTAGAAACAAAATTAGCCAAACAGACAGAAGAAAATGAGGAATTACGACAACGTATTAATTGTAATGTAAAGACTGAATGCATCTCTACCATAGATCAATCTGTAAATCTCTCCTTCGAGATGGATAATATCTCCTTAAGAAGTCGTATCGATGAACTTTTATCAGTTCTGCGAGAAGAGAGAGAGAAACACGAACGTGCGGAAGAACTGATCAAGAAATTAAAAACTCGATGCAACGACTATGAATATTATATTCGAGTGAGAACTAAATTATTCATGTATTTGTTATCGAAAATAAAATTATTTATATCTGATGTATCTTATAATATAATATAAAATAAAATAAAATAAAATTAAATTAAATTAAAAAAAATATTTTTTCTATAGGGTATCAAAGAACAATTAGATGAAAAAAATCAAATTTTAGAAGAAGTTCGGGCAGAACTTAGTCTGAGACGCACAGAAATTACATCATTACAAATGGATCCTACGTGTGTATCGCGCAAAGGCAAATATCAATTGAATTATACAACTTATTTACTTTGACACGATTTTTAATATTTCTCTTTACAGGCAATTCAATTTTTGGTGAAGTGGAAGATCGCCGACGAAATGTGGTGAATAAAATGAATCTATTACGCGAGAAATATACAGAAATAAAACGCATATGTAAAACGCAAATTACAGAGATCAAAATGTTGCGAGCGGAACGTGTTGCAACACTTACAAAGCTAGAGAATGATACAGATCATACATTGGCAGAAAATGAGGACTTAATTCAAAAATATAAGAGTAGAATATCAGATCTTGAAACCAAATTGAAATCTGAGATCAAAAAGAATGATGATTCAAAACACTTGAATGATACTAACACCTCTTTTAGGTACAAAATAAGTTAGACTTATGACATTCACTGATATCATTCAACCTTTGTTCTATCTTTAGTTCTATTTTGGAAATTACAGGTACTTTCAATCTCTGTTAGATGACAAGAAAAAGGAAGCAGATGAACTGCGTATAAAAGTTGAAGATCTTTATACAAAACTTTTGGTACAGGAAGAAACAAAGATGAATATTACCAAGCAACTACGCTATTGGCGTTGCAAAGCTTCCTCTCTGGAGGTAATTATTTTTATCGATGATAGTTATAAGAATGAGAATAATCTTATATACTTTCATATTTTGAAAGGCTCAAATATGTGCTCTACAAGCAGAATTAAAATTAGATCTTATGAATGATGCAGAACATGAAATTTTAAAAGAACTTGAGGATTTTACACACGAGCATAATGATGATACAGCAAACAATGAAAAACATTCTATTTATAAACAAAGACCAGACAATCCTGCTCAATCGCTTTCATTAAATTGTTCTAGTAAAACTTCTTTAATTAAGTATCCAGATAATAATAAAACTCAGGAACAATTAATAGATAAAGAGAAGTCTAATCAGAGTGGTACTGTACAATTTACAAATGTTACACCTCAAAGATCATGCAAATTTGAACATAATCAAAATACTAATAATAATCAAAATAAATTTTCTAACAAAATTCTGCATACTACAGATAGTACAAATATTGAAAACAATGAAAGTTCACCAAGCATTACAGGTTATAAGTATCCAGTTGTTTATATACCAACTAATCTCAATGATTAATATTTTTTATGTAACATTATAAAGAAATATTTTTATTTTTATATGCAATTGAAAATAATATTAATAAAGTCACTATTATCTTACCTCTGTAGTTTCAAATTTAGTGACAAGGACAATATTCCCATCTTTTAATCGGCACTCAATGTTTTTTGGTATTGTGGCAGTTGGTGCTAATCGTGTTGGAAACTGGTAACGTACTTTTTCCATCCAAGATTTCTTTTGTCTTGCCATTGCAACTTCATCTCCTAAAACTCTCATTTTCCATCTGAAGTCATTTACTTCAGAATTCCTTAACCCTGTAAACTCATGTAATCCTTTCCCAATGAGAAGGCCAATTTGAGAATCTAAACTTCTATCACTTTTAACACCTTCACGTTCTATAACTTTAAGCACAGAACAAAATGGTTTTATATCACACAAACGTCTAGTTTCATCTCGTAATTCTTCTGCTTCTGCATTAGAGTTGATACATGAAAATACATAGGACGGAGCATCTTTTAATGTACCATGAAGAGGATATTTGCTGGCTTCATCCCAGAGATCCTATGTAAGAATGTGTATTGACAATGATATTCCTCGAAGCTAATGTTATATATAGTATATAAGAAAAATAATACCATGTTTATTATATTTTGTTAAATCTTAACCTACCTCTTTGATTTCAGCCAAGGTAATATTACGATTGGTCTCCAAGGGTATAACGACCCCGTTTGGCATTAAACAAGTCAGTTCAACAACTTCTGTGGGTGATTTTGCCCAGAAATTGTAAGTATACGCACTTGGTATATGTACCATTGTGTCAAGTGTTTTAAATAGTATGTAGAAAACTTTAATGAAATGTAAAAAATAATAGTTCAAATGTAGTTAATTGAAGAAAAAAACACGAAATACATCGTGTAAGTCGCATCGCGACTGATGGTATCCTTCCTCTTTTAAACAATATGACTTCATTGTATGGCTTAATAAAATGTGATGGTAAATAAAACGATCATGCGATCAACATTTCTGTTTCATAAATCTTTTTCTTTCATCCTTACATCCGTGTATACAACTGTAAATTTTATTCAAGTCTGAAATTCGTAAAGCTCTAAATTCAGATTAACTGGTTAACTTGCTTGGATATGTAATTATTATCAACTGTATTTGCAAAGTTTTCTATCGTTGTGTATTGTATATTTCAATACAAAATATAACTTTATTCGACTTGAATCACAATCGAAATCCATTCAATCGCTTCTTTCTGTGTGCGATAACACTACTAGTCAGCCATTATTTTTATAAAGCATCTACCCACCTACTTACATATACATTTATGTATGTACATGTGTATCAAAGCAAAATTAGTCTGTTTTTCTATTGGATCTCATTTCAATGGAATCTTATGACGTTGTTTTTTTAATTTCTTCACAATTTTTCATTATGCATTTTTTAATATATACTTAATTTAATAAGTTTATATGATGATATAATATTTGTAATCCAAATATTGATCATTATTTAATTTCACTATATGCTATAAAAACATAAATATGCAATAATAATGTAAAAAGTCCCTACTTGCTTTCGAAGTAAAATAGCTCTAGATGCTGTTATTTGTTAATTTAATTTGAGGAAAAAAGTCTCTAAACATTAATCAATCGATGAAACATGACCTAGAAATCGCGGAACTTTTGTCTTTTTTATTTTGTCTATCCTGATCATTACCGATTTATTGGTATGAAAATTACAATATCGTTACTGTACTATCGATTGACTTTCGAGGTTTGTAATTTTGCGACGTATATTACACGTACGTGATTTGTATTTGTCAGTAATTGTATGTAATCAGCAATTGATAGCTAAGTAAGACCTATAAATCCTTTGAAACGGTTTATTATCGTTTTTCATATTATTTTATTTATTGAAATTTTAGATTTCATCTAAATTTTGGAAATTTTATTTGTGTAACCTCTTTTCCAAATAAATGTTTGTGTCAAGACGAAATTTTGTAAAACATGTAAAGTTTGTGAAAAATTAATTTTATAAAATTATAACGAACGACTTTGATTCTGTTGAATTTATAACAAGTTTGATAAATATATGGTCTGCAATTACAGTGAATGACAACCTGCGCGTATTCCTGGCGTCTTAACGGTAACTTTTCTAACGTTTTATGGAAAAAAAATATTGTATTATAATGTTATTATATATAAGTATCTGTATGATGCATTTTTACTTCTTATTTCGAATTAATTGAAGTTCATAGATTCTAAACAATAGTACAAAGTTAAATGGTACTGTATTATTTATTATTTAAGCTCTAGTAAATTTGATTACATTGTAATAGTGTCTCTTTTTATTTTTAAATATTTGCTTTGAATATTTTTATTTACCAGTATATTGCAGGTGCCAATAAGTGTTAAAAGTAAATCAGAATTACAATATTAAGTATGTTTGGACAATCTGGAAATACGTCATTCAGTAAGTGAGATGAGCTTTTGATTTTATGTTTATTTTTATTCCTTTATATAAATATTATTGTAATTTACTTTCATAGGTGGTTTCAATACAGCAACGCAATCCAGTCCTTTTGGACAATCTGCGTTTGGTAAACCAATCACTACAACAAGTTTTGGTACTGGTGCTGCACCAGTCTTTGGTAGCAATAATACTTCGCTCTTTAGTTCAAAGCCTGCAGGCTCTACCACTGGTGGCTTATTTGGCAATACTACAACTCCACCTGCGTTTACACAACCTTCTTTTGGAGGTAATGACTTATAAATTCTTTTGTTAATCATAATTACAGAATATTTGTCCACATAAATATTTGCAGCATGATGTTCTGTTATTTCAATAAGAACATTTAGGCAACGAGTCAGTGTTGTAATACAATTAAGTTCTCATAACGTATATTGTATAGTATATATATGACATTTCTGCTTTTTAACATGTTAACCATCCTTGAATATTACATATGTAGATGATAATTACATTGGTTATTAAAGTTCTAGAATCACTAGTAATATTAAATAGCTCAAATTATAAATATATTATAATGTAAATTGAATAATGGAAATACATATTTTTCCTCTTTTTTTTCTAAAGGTTTTGGAACAAATACAAATACAAACACCAATTTATTTGGTACACAGCAGAATGCAAGTGCAAATTTGTTTGGACCAAGTACTGCAACTTCAGCATTTGGTCAGTCAAATAAACCAGCTGGATTTAGTTTTGGTCCTACATCTGGAACAAATTTATTCGGACAACCTCAACAATCAACTCAACAAACTACTCCTTTTGGACAAAGTAGTACTACTGGAAATACTAATTTATTTGGTGCAACACCTGGTACGCTTTATTATGTATAATTAGATTTTCTAAAAAGAGGTTAATCTTTTATTACTTTTGTTTTCTTTTGTTTTAGGTTTTGGCAGTACAAATACAGCAACTACAAGTATGACTGGCACTGTTGTTAAATTTACTCCCGTGATTACTACCGACTCTATGTCCAAGAATGGTATTTCTCATACTATATCGGCGAGGCATTGTTGTATCGCATCAATGAAGGAATACGAATCAAAGTCTTACGAGGAGTTACGTTTTGAAGATTATTCTGTGGGACGAAAAGGTAGTTTTATGTACTGAAAAACTATCTAAACAAGTATAGTTATTTATAACAATATCTACTTAATAGTCATTTGTGATATTTTACAATCATTTACTTGTTTTTAATCAACAGGATCCAGCACAGGAATTTTTGGTGCATCAGCGCAGCCGTCACCTTTTGGCAATGCAGGGGCAGGTACTAGTACTGCGACAACGGGTAAACTATTCTAATGCAAATTAGTTGTATATGTACTAGATGGCGTATTTCAAAACTGAATGATTCAAACCTTAAAGGCTCTTTTTAAAATTGAAATATTTGTATTGTTTATATTTTATGTGATAACTTTCCTTTTTTCTTTTTTTTTTTCTTTTTTCTTTTTTTTTCCTCTCTTGACATTTTAAATCAGCCTTTGGTGGAATGAGCGGGAGTTTTGGAGCAACCACACAATCTGGGCCAAGTGGCTTATTTGGGAAGCCTATAACAAGTTTTGGGACACCATCAACAACAACAACAAACAATTTTGCTTTTAATTCTACTCCGAGTACAAATCTATTTGGTAGCAGTACCCAGAATAAACCTTTTGGTTGTGAGTATTAAGTTTTATAAGCAACATTAATAATGCTGTTATCGATAATTTAGTATTATTCACTGGCGTAGCTAGGGGATGCAGAGAGAGTTGTTATCCGACCTGGGCGGCATTCTTTGCCATTTTATTTTGAGATATAATTTTTATTTTTCAATGATTCTTTTATTTGTTAATGTAATAATTTTTATTACTGAATTAATAATTTGTTTTTAACTATTTTTATAATCTACGATTACTGGCTCAACCAGTCGTCGTGAAGATTTTTTTTTAACAAAGTGAGAGTAAACTGAGAGATCTTCCCGGTTGTCAGAAGCCCTAATTACGCCGCTGGAATCACATTAGAATTATTATATTGGTTTGCATAAATATGTGTATGTGAAGTATTTATGTTCACAAAACATTGTCTTTTTATTTACAGCAGCAGCTCCAGCACCACTTTTTGCAACAAGTAATACTAATCAACCTGCTAGTGCAGCTTTTGGTGGTATTAATACAGGTCAAAACACTGCTTTCGGTTCCACATTTGGTTCAACACAATCAAATCAGGTAATGCAAGAGGGAAATAAAAGCAATTCTGATATTTACTATCAATTGTAATTGTTGCTAACATTCTCCTTTATATTTTTATAGAATATTGGTTTGTTCAATCAGAACAAATCAGCTTTCAGTGCACCCTCTACGTCATCTAGTTCCGCATTTACCAGTTTCGGCCAAACTCCATCGAGCAATACCGGTACAACTCTTTTCGGTGCGAAGTCAACTGGAGGGATAGGTTTCGGAACAACTTCTACTTTTGGTTCAAATACAGCGCTGACTTTTGGAACTACAACAGGTTTCACTGCAGGTCAAAACTCCGGTACTTCGTTGTTTAATACATCTTTTAAACCTGTAGGACAAACATCTGGATTCTGTTTTGGTTCAACTTCTACACCATCCTCCGGACTTGGTAAGTAATTTGTGTTTATCGTAGTATTAAGATTACATGAATAAATTATAGCTTATAAATTTTAATAGCTTTACATCAAAATTAATCTGTTTCAGTACTTATTATTTTATATAAAATTTAATTTTAATCGAATAAGCAGTTAAGTAAAAATAGCGAAGGTGTAAAGTGAATAGAAAAATACAAGTTCCTTGATTAACATTAATTATGAATGTATTTTATAGGTACGAATACAGGTTTATTGGGTAGTGGATCTACTTTATTTGGACCGCAAAAAGCAGGTGGTTTGTTCGGAAACACTGGTAATAATACAACATTTAATACGTCGGGATCATTTGGATCTTCAACCTTCGGAACTAATACAAATGTGGGCACGGGTATTGGAACTGGATTACTTGGTGCTGGGTACTGTTAAAAATATTTAACAATTTTTATTCTATAATTATCGATTAAAAGATCCTAATTTCCTTTCAATATTTTTAATATTAGAAACACCACCAATCAAACAAAGAGTTCTGGAACTGTGCCAGTGCATCAACAAATTTTAGCTTTGGTGTCTGCACCATTTGGTGATTCGCCGTTGCTAAAGAATCTTTTACCGGTAAGAAGTTCAATCTAGTTAAATGTTTGCAACTACACACACTCATACATTCGCATACACACGTGAATTTTAAATTTAATACTTGTTCCGACTATTATAATGTTCTACAAATTTTATTTTAATATGACTTTATTTTAGGCTTCTGGTAAAATGGAAGAGTTATTAAAACCAGCAAACGCTCCTTCTAAACTATTGAATGGTCCACAATACAAGGTTACTACTGATAACAAATCTCCGAAAATTAAGGCTAAAGTTGTTACTCCTGCACAATTATCTAAGGTAAATTATCAAGAAGATAATATAATTGATAGTTCTTTTAGATAATCGAGATTTATTGAATATATAATGACATCTTTTAGAAGTCAATGTTCGAAGGTCTTGAAGAGGAAGATCCACTCTCGGAAGCATTTCAGCCCCGACCAAATGCAAAGCGTTTAGTGCTACGTCCAAAATCGATATCAAACTCAATAGTTTCATCACCTACCGAAAGTTCGCAAAATGTAGGAAAAAACTTACAATCTTCTGATAAGGGAGAAGGGAGATCGCCTGTAACAGATTCGTACATTGAAAATACAATTATCGAAACTGTAGATAAAGAAAATCATAGTCAAGATAATAATCGACAATTAGTAAATGATAGAAAGTCGTCTTCATCTTGGTTGAAAACGAGTATTCCACGAAACACATCGATAAAAAATTTGAACGACGAATCATTCGAAGGACAGCGTTCACTGTTCTCCGGTTCGAACGCATTGTCTGATGAAATGATAAATAATACTGTTACCGAGTTGCGACCTTATGCTAACACGAGCCCATCAAATCAAATATGCTCTGAAATTAATTCTTCTGCGGATACGTCCTTAAAGAATTCGTCTCTTGTTGATAAATCATGTACGGATATCGTAACCCAAAATTCTGATTCGAGCCAGGAATTGGATGAAAGTTCCTTTTCGACGTTACAAACTTCAAATTGGAAAGCAAACACAGCAAATGTAATATTAAAACGTGCAGGTTACTATACAATTCCGCCGCTTGATAAATTAGACGAGTATATTTGCGGCGAAACATGTATTGTCCCAAACTTCACAGTTGGTCGCGAAGGTTATGGAAATGTGTATTTCCCTGAATCATTTGATATATATGGTCTCAATTTAGATGAAATTGTACATTTCCGACACAAAGAAGTTATCATTTATCCAGACGACGAAAAAAAACCACCTGTCGGACAAGGATTAAACCGTAAAGCGCAAGTTACTTTAGACCGAGTGTGGCCACACGATAAGTCTCTACATAAGCCCATTACCGACCCTCGTCGATTAACTGCAATGGATTATGAAGAAAAGTTACGAAGAGTGTCAGCGAAACATGATACTAGATTCTTGGAATATCGCCCTGAAACTGGTTCATGGGTTTTTAAGGTAATTTTAAGCAGATTTATATGTTTTTTAAAACTTACATTTTCTTTTCTATCGCGATGATGTATCATTTTAGGTAGATCATTTTTCTAAATATGGCCTGAGCGATTCAGACGAAGAAGATAATAATGTACCTACAGCGAATGACACTAAAAGGTTAAAATTATGCGCCGGAACTCAACAAAAATACACGAACAAGTTGGAACAATCGAAAGTTGCAGTAAGATTTGCTTATTTGTTCTGTTTGCAAATTACATAAATCATCTCTTTTTTTATACTTGTGGTATTCATATAATACAAATATATATAGCGAGTTCTTTATTCGTATTTAGAATAGGGATATTTCCATGACTAATGATTCGAAAATTGGAAGTGCAGATTGTTCAGATTTGGATGCATGTGGATTTTTTTTCACATGTAGGCCATTTAGAGTAGGTATGTGAAATATAAAGCTATTATAGTTAATTTGTTTAAAAGTATTTTTTCATAGTCATCGCTAGACATGATGATATTTTCAGAAGATCGTAAGCGCGAGAAACGATTACCAATAAGTCCTACTGGAGATAATGCTCGTATTTTGGGTACTGACAGTCATAAGTTACAATTAATGAAAGCTAGTTTTTTCGACGATAACGACGAAAAGATTAGTGAGACTTATGATCAAGGTAAAAAATCATAAAAAATCATTCGAATTACATTATATATTTTCTGACTTTTGCAATAATGTTTATTCTTGTTTAAATTTGTATTATCATTTTAGAATCGGATCGTGCATTATTTCTCTCTGGTCATAAAAGTTCTTTACGATGTTTCATCAATGCTGTTCAAAAATTGGATGAAGATCGAAATTACGAACCATCTGTTAGTCCGATATTACGATCAAATTTGACAATTTATCGTACGCCGACGATCACTTATGAAGAACTAGAATTTTCGAAAACAGGTGATACAAGACCAATAATATATGCAAGATGAATGTCCTATTTGTTTTACATATTACATTCGATTTATATTGTAGATCCTGAATTGAAACATTTGAAACATTCGATGGATGTCATTAGTACGAAATCATTGATATATGAAAAAGGTTTGCCGGATCCTTCGATAACTCCTGTAACTACAATTCTTAAGTGGGTTTCTGAAGTGATTCCGTTATCGAAATCTATCATACATAAGCTAGAATCTCGTTCCATTGCTGATACTGGTAATATTCATATACATAGTTGTAAAAAGTTCATGTAAATAATATAAATAAATATATACTTGTATATGTATTTGTGTAGGCATACAAATGGGAAGAATGTTCAAACCAAGTTGGGGACGTGGTTTAACATTACTTACATTGAGTACGAGAAGTCTTGCTGACTGTGTACCATTAAGCAGTTCATTTGAACAAATTGGATCTTATGTATGCGGTCGTTCTGCAGAAGATACAACATCGGTTGCAATAGTCCAACGTATACAAATTTTAGGTGGTAATGGAACCGATGCTGAACGCATTAAAATATTCAAAGTAAGTTTTACTTCAAACACTAGTTGTCTAGAAATTTTAGCAATTACACTTTTGTTTTCATACTTTATAAATGATATTTAAGGAAAGTATAGAAGGTCATCTAAAAATTCAATTGTCACACCGTGTAATGAATCAAGAAGGAGATTGCCCAATTTTTGATGTAGATACAGATATTAATAAGGCGAGCATGGCTTTACACGCACATTGTAGTTTAGCCGAAGAATTTGCGGAGCAATTTGCCACAGATTGTTTTGCTTCGTATGTTGCTAATGTTTGGAAACTCTGCGTAGCTCTTTGGGGGATCTTGCCTGATGTAAATGTTGCCGCAGGTATGGTTTACATTAAATTGCTTTAAAACGTAGTTGTTTAATTTTCCAACTGTATTATCACCATCTAATACGATTTCGCAGTCCCCTCCTCTTTGCTTCTGCTCCCTATCATTTCCATTTTTATTATCCTCCTTTTTTTAATATATATATATAGATAAGCACAAATGATGTGTAATACATAATACGTATCGCCCTGTGCTTTATGATTTTAGAAAATCCAGAAGATCATAGTGTTGTAATGGCGCGACGAGAGGCTATTGGAGAATGGTTAAGGAACGTTATACGAAAAACACCTGTGTGGGAAAATACGGATATTAGTAATGAAACAAAAATATTGTTTTTACTATCTGGTATGTATGTTTTAGAAGAAAACAGTAGCTCGTTATACACTATGTAAATTTTTTATTTGACTGAAATGAAAAGCTATAATGGTATCATATTTCCTTTCAATTCTCTTTTCTCGTCGTTGATGGATTCAAAGCTTTTGAGTTAGAAGAAGCGTGTAAAACTGCACGAGAAGTGGGTGATCATTGTTTGGCTTTATTGATGGCACAGTTATGCAGTGGAATGCCTATAAAAGTATTAATAAAGCAGCAAATTGCATTATGGCAAGATGCTGGTGTTGATGAAAACATCTCGTTAGATCGATTAAAACTGTTTGCATTGGTGGCGGGTGAACCTCTTGTACCCAGTAAACATGGTCTTATTAATGTCTGCGAAGCTTTCGATTGGAAGAGAGCGTTAGCTGTTCATTTGTGGTAAAAATTTTATTTTTTAAAACGATACAATATATTTTCATTAATCTATTACACTATATATTACGCGTGATTGTTGTAGGTATTTTTCATCCCCGATTGACTCGATAAGAGATACGTTAGATATCTATGAGACCTCTTTTGATACAAGCAAGATAGCATATGCTTATACGGTAATACCGAAACCCGAGTACAAAGGAGATGATTACGAGCTTGAACTAAATAATGGGAAACCAATATACGATCTTTGTTTTCATCTTTTAAAGTTATTTTGTACTGGCAATCATACACTAGGAGAATTATTGAACCCGGCAACACATACTGCCGATCCATTGGATTATAGGCTCAGGTAATTAATCAATTTCTTTCTTCACTATTAATTTCATCGATTCCTTATCATTAATTTAATTTGTAATGTTTACTAATTTAACTTGGTCGCAGTTGGTTGATGCAGCAAGTACTTTTAGCTTTGGGTTATTCGCATTTATCGGAACACGTTGCCATTTTGACACATGTTAATTTCGCTACACAGTTAGAAGCATATGGCCTTTGGCATTGGGCTATATTTGTAATGTTACATCTAAAGGACGCTGGAAAAAGAAAAACGGCAGTAATGAATTTGCTGCAACGTCATGTTGAAGTAGACGATACTGTTGATTTTCCTGATCCTATCGAACGAGAAAAATTTTTACGAGAAGAGCTAGGTATACCTTCGATATGGATTCACCAAGCCAAAGCCGTCAAAAGTTACGTAGCTAAAAGGTTAGTATATTGATGATACGTGGAGGTAATGTTGTTTATACATTAAGTATATGGAGTGTCGTTCTGTGTTTATACAATGGTGAATGAGTAGTACGGTTTGATAGTTTGATAGATGTGAAATGTTTGGTACCATGCGTTTGATGCGTTGTAGTGTTAGTAATTGAATTTTTAAGAAATTTTTCCGATATTTCAACAGCTTATTAATTTTTCTAAAAGAATTTCTTTCCTTTTTCACAGATATGGCAAAGCGGCTTTTTATTTTATTCAAGCAGAACAATGGAATACGGCTCATGAGATCATCATCGAGCATTTAGCTGCAGATGTTATAATAAACGGTATGCTTCTGAAATATGCGTTGAAATAATGTTAACTTTTTATTTTAAAGCTGCTCTATGTTTATTCTTTCCTATGTTTTTTAATTCAGAGAATTATGATTATCTACGCGATTTATTGCGTCCACTGATTCCTCCAGAATGCAATAGCACCATAAGTGGTTGGACCTATCAAGGACAATTACTTTGGGAATATATGGAAATAACTATGGATGTGGAATCTTTATTACGTAGTGCTGACCCACGTGGAATAAATTCCAAATTAGAATCGTTAAAACAACGATTGGCAAGTCTTCCATCCAAAATCAATCAATTTCCTTGCCCAACTGCTAAATATAGGTGAATTATTAGTTATTATTCTTTTGATTTCTATGTACAATATTTTGTATATTATAAGATGATCGAGTTGTTATTGGTATTCGATAATTGTATTTGCGTACGATCGTTTCCTGTTTTAGGCTTTGCCAAGCAGAAATTGCAAAGAGGACATTACATTTGGCGAGAAGTTTGTTGCAATCAAACGAAAGTAGATCTACACCGATATTTCAACTAGTGTCACAGTTGCCATTGCCTGAAGATTATGCGCAACAAGAACTTCGCCCGATCGTTAATATGCGCGCAAATGAAATTATATACCAGGCAGCATAATTGTTTATTATGGAAATTCATAGGCAATTACATTCACGATTAACAAGCTTTCCCTTTTAGATAAAATAAATATTCGTGGACTTTTATTTTCTGATTTTGTAATAAATAACTTTACGATGGTGTATAATGGTAACGACCATAATGGTGATAATGATTGTAGTATGAATAATTATAACAATGATGATAATAATGATATTAGAAATAACAGTGGTAATAAAAGATTAAATAGTTAAGATTTATAATCTTTACAATTAAGGCCGTTTATGCTAGTTTGTTACTTAAGATATTCTATATCTATAGATATTTAAATGAATAAATGAAAATGAAAAAAGAAGTGGAATACGTGGTGAGTATTGTAAGCTTAGATATTCGAATGATTGTCTGAATTGTTTAAAGTGCGTAATTAAAGTAAGAAAATGGAAAAATTGTTATAGTTTAGTTGTTTCAGTTACGGGAAGGATCGATTATATTCCAGCTATCATGTTGCATGTATTTTCAAATTGTATAAACGATTAAATATATTATTAATATACTATTTTGAGATGATAATATTATTCCATTGCGATGAGCGTGAAAGATGAGATTGTTGAATTTTAATTAGGCGTCTATACTTTGAATTGAAAGGAAAAGGAAAAAAAAGAGGGAAGTAAGAACTGTGTAAGCTTCCAGAATTCATAGAACCTAGGAAAGTGATTTTGCGCTTGAAAATATAGATGTGCGTTAAATCAATGATACCGAGCTTGCGCTTCCGATTACGAGCATCCCTCTTACCAAATTGCGAGTATCTCGCTCTATTTGGTAGCCTAAACTTGTATGTTTATTCGCTTACACTCTTTTGTGAAGAACAATAACTCCTTCTCGACGGCGCTCGACCTATCCGTGTTCTCTTGTATCACCACGTCTAATCGTTTCCATATCTTGCAACCTTTACCTTCTACAGTAGTTTACCTTCCCCACCTTGGTGTCGCGAATTTAAGCTGCTCTTCCCCTAGTTCCGTTTTATTCCCAATGCCGCCGTTGCCGCTGTTGTCGTCGCTCTCATCGTTGCAGCCTCCATTGCTAACGTTATCCCTACTACACACCACCAACATCATCCCTGATGCCTCGGATGTCACCAACGACACTACTACTATTACTGTTAGTTGGTATTGGTCGACTGCCTACATTCTCGTTTTCAGGGGTGATTGCGAACACGCGCTCGCACCAGTAGAATAGCGTTACTTCTAAAACGCCCGAGTCCAACGTAGTAGCGTAGCAAGAGTAATGCGCGCGCGCTAGACAACCAACCAGGCACCTTTAGTTGGAGCATAAAGCGACTCGTACACCATCTTTGCCCGATTTTCATGAGAAAGTGCTATCAAAACGGAGTCGTCGCGCGTCACAGTTGTTTTATACGGAAAAGAACGTATATTTTCGCCGTATGATATTTTCGCGGATCGTATTTCGTGATGCGTGCATAACGCATGTAAATACTTGATTTTTCTATCATTTTTTCTTTCTTCCATCTCCTCCGTATACCCCTTCTTTGCTTCGTATCCACCTCTAACACTCTTTCTCGCCCTCTCTCTCTCTTTCTCTCTCCCTTTCTCTCCCTCTCTCTCTTTCTCTCTCCTTCCCACTACATCTACTCCCTTGTCCCACCCTCGTCCTTCATTCTTTCGGGTTCTCTGCGCGTTACGGTGTGAACATACTTGAGAGATCGCGCGACAAGGCGGTAATCGGTGGTGCAATCGTGAATCGCACAAACGAATCGTGTCGACAGCGCATCAAACGATGTCTAATCTATTTGTGAAAAGGAAAATATACGTTCACTTCGAAAGGATACGATAATAAAGAGGAACGCCGACTTACTATCCGAGGGGTGGTTTGACGTAGGATCGTTTTTTTCGTTTGTCTCTTGGTTGGTTAGTCGTTCGGTCCTTCGGGCGATCGGTCGATCGGGTTTTCATACGTGCGTACGTCGAAGACCCGTTATTTTTTACAATAAGATGATTTAATCATTGGAGAAGCTCGTATTATGTTCTGAAAAATGTTTACGACGAACAACTACGTATCGGAAGTGAATTATTACGTGTTGTTGAACTTGCATTGATTGACAATTTTTGGCGAGCCTTTTCACATACAATATGCCATTATTGCTACCAATTATATCATTGTTGCGGTTGTTGTCATCATTCTCTTCGTCGTTGTCGTCGTTGTCGTCGTCGTTGTCGTTATTGTCGTTATCATCTTTTTAGTCTTTGAGTCCATTACCGTGTCTACTTTCGTCTTTGTGTCCATCACCGTGTCCAATTTCGTCTTTATCTTCATCCTCACCACTGTCTCCGTTGTTGTTCTCCTTTTCGCCTTCTTGTTCGCCGTAGCTTTCAGCTTTATCTTTACCCTCGTCTTCGCTTTCGCTTTTGTCTCCGTCTCCGCTTTCCTCTTCGTCTTCGTCTCCCTCTCCCTCTCCCTCTCCTCCCCTTTCCCTTCTTCTTCTTTCTCTTGCGCTTCCTCTTCCTCTTCGTTTTCCTGTTCCTCTTCTTCTTCCTTTCTCTTCCTCTTCCTTTTCTTCTCCCTCTTCCTTTTCCCCTTCCCCTTAGTCTTTGATTTTGTCTTTATCTTTCCTTTTTTCTCTGTCTCCATCTCCGTTTTTGTTATCGTTTTCGTCTCCGTCTTCGTCTCCGTCTCCGTCTTCGCCTTCTCCTTCATCTTCGCCTTCTCCTTCGTCTTCGTCTTCGCCTTCGTCTTCGTCTTCGTCTTTGTCTTCGTCTTTGTCTTCGTCTTTGTCTTCATCTTCGTCTTGGTCTTCGTCTCCGTCTTCATCTCTGTCTCCGTCTCCGTCTCCATCTCCGCCTTCACCTTCACCTACGTCTTCGTCTTCGTCTTCGTCTTCGTCTTCGTCTTCGTCTTCGTCTTCGTCTTCGTCTTTGTCTCCGTCTTCGTCTTCGTCTTCGTCTTCGTCTTCGTCTTCGCCTTCGTTTTCGTCTTCGTCTTCGTCTTCGTCTTCGTCTTCGTCTTCGTCTTCGTTGTTACTCTGTTGCATTTTTTCTATTATGCTCTTACCATCGTGTAGTGATAATTTCGACTCATTTAATCAAGGATTCAATTTGGAATTCAAAGGTAGAGAAGCGGAGTTTGATCATTCTACACAATGTTAAATACATGATGTTGGCCAAGCGTTCGTCGAAAACATACACAGTGAAATGAAAAGAGTTTTTCCATTTGACAGTTATATGATTAGCGTAGTTTCGATCGTGAAATGCGTAGTGTTCATTCAAAGAAGAAGATAAAAAGAAGGTGATGCATTATAAATATATGCTTCTACGTACTAGCGTACATAAGCGTTACAATGTTGTGCTTTTGTCAAATGTATATGTATACGGATAAACAAGATTCCATCGAAACGGTAAATTTACGCACGTAACGCTGACTCGCGTGTTCCGGCCGATCGATCGCTACTACGAGGGAGCGGTAAGACTAATTCTTTTCGAGAAGTTACTCCGAATTAACGTATACGTTTTTTTTTAAAAGATTGGTTCGTTCGTTTCATCATTCCCTTATATTCGGCTGCTCATCAATAGCGTCGAAATAATGTTTCTGTCCGCCAAAAAATTTGTGCACTATGGAGTGTTGTTACTGTTATGGATAAAATCAAGTTATCAGCAAGAAGAGGATATACCTCATAACGAGTAAGGATTTCTGACGTTTTTCTATTACGTACTAATTCCTCTTGATAATTGTAAAGTAGCATTAAAGAAGTAGTTAAGTGAATTTTTCGATAAAGTAATGATCGTATAAAATAGTGAAAGGGCGTGGATATCTTGTGAAGAGGTAACTTCGTTTATGTTCACGTGAAAATTTTGTCTCGACAATTTGCTATATAAAACAGTAGTTAGTTTAAGCGAGAAACGAGTTGAAAATTAACGAATTATCGAAACTGTAACAGTTTTATCTCAACGTGGAAAAGAATCATATTTTTGTCTATTATGGTAGAGGAATTGTGGAAAGAATAAAAGAGGCCCAGCAATAGTATCACAGCGTGCAATAATACATTTATATATTTCTTAACACGTATCTGATTAAAAAAGGAAAAGCATGACACTTTCAATGATTCTCGAAGGGAAGCAATGAGAATTGAAAAGAACGCAGGCGCGTGTAGGGTTACGCGTACACAGTCGATTAACGAGGATCAGAATCAGCGTGTATGCGTACGACCTTACGTGCGTGCGCACGTGACATGTATATACGAATGCATCAATGGTACTCATTTACACGTAACGTTATATGATATATAGAAGGTAGTGAGCAGACCATTCGTTGATTTCGGTTCAAACGACATTCAGCAGTTTGTCATTGTGTATCGCTACACAATGATTTTTGCGGAATTGAGATGCAATTATATTCCAATCAACGAGACGAGACAGTAGACGAGGTAACTGCACGTGATCGACGTGACGCGTGAATAGGATAGAGCCGATATACAATTTTAGGTACTAACAAGTATAAGGAAAGTCAAAAAATAAGCAGCTACTTTTCTGAATAAGAATTTATTTAATGTCAGTATTGTGTGAAATTATTCGTCGACGATATGAAAATATTTAAATAAAGGCAAAAGTGAAACAACTATAGTATAAAGCAAGTTATAACAAAATATTGTTTTCAATATTGGTTTCAAATTCCTTCCCTGAGCAGTGGTCGCTTAACTGCAACCGTAGCTCTGATCGTGTAAGGTCTTTGTCTATTTCTTCTGTCTTGTCTCGTTGGATGAATCGATATAAGGATATTCTCCTTGATTTCTTGCTTATTCGTTAGTGGTATATTTACACGTTCAATTTACCATTCGATACCAATGTTAAAATATATGAATAATCAAATTTGCATTTCCATTATCTATCATTCATAATTTTCGATTTGTTAAAATTTCAAATTCAATATTTCCGAGGGAAAAGATAGGGTACAAGAGAAAAAAGAATGAAAAAATACGAAAGTAAGATATGTATCTCCGGGAAATGATATCTATATATCATTGATTCAAACATTTACACGATTGAAAAAAAAAAAATAAATAAAATGTGTTTAATCGGGTTTAAATAAAACATTAAATATATATTATCTTTGTCTTTTTGTAGAGTAAAAAACTGGGCCTTAAAATTTGGCGTAGATTTGTGGGAATTTGGCAAACAAGTTACGAAAATGAGCGAAATACAAAGGGTAAGGAAATTGTTCGTAAATAGGTAATATAATTTAATCGTTCTATTCGTTTCAATTGCTGTTGCTGAATCGAAAAGACATTAAAGCAAATTTTAGATTATTCATGTTCGTTGATGTTTAATTTCCGGAATACGTTATTAATCTGTTGTATGAAAATTAAATGTAAACGTTAGATCAAATCTTTTTCAAACATATATCTGGGAAACATCTTTCCTTCGTCCTTTGATTTTAGAACTATCACGAAATGCAAGCAGAAGTTCTAAAGAAGGATGGTCTTGTCTTAGTGCGAGAAATGGCCGAAGAAGTAAAAAACACATTGGACTTTAAAATGAACGCTGTCATGGTGAGAGAATGGATTTCATTGCAAAATTAATAAGGATATCGATAAATAAAGTTATAATAATGATAATAATAGTATAATAGGGATTTTATTAAGGATATTGATAAATAAGCTTTTCTGTTGCATTACCAGAAATGAAATACCCATTGTCTACATATTCAATCATACGGTGTTCCACGAAATTCATTTTATTTCACAAAATCAATACGCGAAATGTAAAATTGTTTATAAACGATTGCAGAAATTGGTAGAGAGTGCGGAACAAGCAGCTGTGTCAGCACCTAGGGAAGGAAACGTAGCACCAAAATATTATGCTTCTCAACACTTTGATACTTCTTCAGGAGATGGAAAAACATTTGCAACCGGACAAGAAACCTTCCTCTCGTCTAATCGACATTTTGATCATTTAGCCGTAAACATTACACTATCCGCAGTCTTATTACCTGCGGGTGTAAAAGATATCGGTAAGTATCCATCATAATTTCGTAATCTTACATCTAGGAGAAATTTCAGTTATTCAGCCAAATTAATTTAGCATCTTATCCATTTTCTCCATACAATCGCATTCATTTTTCTTTAGACCCCGAAGTAGCCGCTGGAATTCAATGGAGCGAATACTTGGATTTGTTATTTGTTAATAATTACGAAAGCGATTCTTCACTTTCCTGGCAATATTACGGGGCAACTTCAGGATTCTTAAGACGTTTCCCCGGTATGAATCGCACATCAATATTATCCTTTTCTTTCCTCTTTCTAGCCGCATAATTTCATCTCGCTAGTTCCTTTCAACGATAATTAGATTTTCTTTTTGCAGCCATGTCCTGGCCACCTATTGAAGAACGAATTTTTGGCACAAGCAGCAACGGGAATCGAATTGTTCGAGATGTGTACGATTTTCGAATTTCTAATTGGTTCATTGGAGCTGCAAATAGTCCAAAAGACCTAGCGATATTGCTTGATAATGAATGCTATGTTTCTGAGAGAAATAAACATTTGGCTATAACTACTGTCAAAACTATACTCGACACTTTAGGTCCCAATGACTATGTTAATGTTTATCGTTATGGAGACACTGCAGAAGAAATCGTACAATGTTTCAAAGACAGTTTAGTCCAAGCATCACCCGAAAACGTACAAGAATTGAAAATAGCAACGAATTCTATAAAACACGAGGAAATGCCAACAAATATATCAGCTGCTCTTGGAACTGCCTTTGAAATTCTTCTCAAATACAACAGAACAGGGCAAGGAAGTCAGTGCAATCAAGCAATAATGTTAATCACAACCGATAATGCTGGTTTACCTACAGACGTGATAAAACGTTACAATTCGCCTCATATGCCTGTTCGTATCTTTACGTATCTCATAGGTGGTGACAAAAGCCCAGAATTACGCAACGCAGCATGCGCAAACAAAGGTGCCTGTCAATCATTTTTCCTCCCCAGTTATAATACCATTATCTCAGGTATATTATTTATCAAATCTATGTTTTATATCTTTAATCGTATAGGATTCTATGCTAGAATTACTGAATTAGAAGACATTAGGAGTCAAATTTTTGAATATGTCAAAGTGCTCGCTCGACCTATGGTGCTCTATCAACACGAACATCCTATTCATTGGAGTCCAGTTTATGTTGGTGGAAAGGTATGCGAATTAGAGGTCTTCACTTTCATTCATTTACTTGTATTTTAAGTATTTTATATCAAAATATAATATATTTTAATGCTTGGAATTACTCTTTTGTTTTTCTTTCAGAGTGGTAGATATGGCAAAGAAAACACCGGACAGTTGATGACATCAGTCACTGCGCCTATTTTAGATCGTCGGAATTATACGGTAATATTCTTTTGTCCAAATTTACTGCAATTTCACCACTCTTTTCTTAATTACTTTCGACTCTTACATTGTCACTTTTCATACATCCAATTTTTAAAGCGTTTTAAACCTCGTTACACATAATATACAATAATTCTTCTTTCAATATAATATATTTTATATGTCGTAGGTGAAAACGGCTAATTTATTAGGTATTGTTGGTACCGATGTACCCATAGAAGAGATACAAAAATTGGTTCCACCTTATAAGGTAAGCAAGATCGGTTATGTCGATACATAAACTTATTCGTGTATATTCGTGTTTATTTTGTCAAAAAAGAATCATTATTCTTCAGAAATTATAATTGTAAAATTTCTATATTATCAATTTCCAGTTAGGTGTCAACGGATACTCTTTTATCGTAGACAATAATGGTCGTGTTTTGTATCATCCGGATTTACGACCATTGGTGAGTAATTTACTAGAAAAATATAGACGCAATTGATTTCGAAACGACGTCCGTTGATTCATCCGTTTAATGTTCATTAACCTTGTTATTTATTTTCATCGATGCAGCCAGGGAACGTAGACGTAAGTAAATCGAATGCATAAATTCTAATAAATTTCATTCCATTTACTCAATATAATCCAAGAACGAAAACTTGTATTAGTTGCAACATTTTCCATAGATTTATTTCATTGCAGTACGAGGAAACGCTAAAACCCTCGTATATTAGCGTAGACTTGTCGGAAGTCGAACTCGCCGAGTATGATGGACCACTGCATCCGTTAAACAATTCCCTTCTATTAGATGTAAGTTGCCCCCAATAATGGTACATTCACTTAATATTCATTCAGTCATCGTGTAAATCACGGTCTATTTTTTTCTTCTGTATCGTTATATAGTTGAGGCATGATATGATTGATCAAAAGGAAGGGGAAACTAATTTCGCGATCAAGATTCATTACGATAATATGGTGAGTAAAAGAGTGTTATTGGGAATGTTATCTGCTGCTTCTTACGCTTCTCTTAATGTTCTAATCGTTTTATCACACGCTTGTGCGATTGGTAGTGTTAAAGAAGAATTCAATTTCGAAAATATATCTACACACGGTATATTATATTCGGTAAGAGGCAGCCGATACGTGACACTCGCATACATAGGTATTTACTTTTTAATCCTATCTTTGTACATACAATTGTTTGTCATTTAATATGTCATTTAACATAATCATTTCTATATTTTTCTCGGTACATGTGTGCGTGCATACATATATAGAGACGAGTTACCATTAGACGTCACAATTATTTCTATAAATCTATAGAAGGAACGCCATTTTCATTGGGATTAGCCTTGCCAGAAGGTTACGGTATGTTTGAATTGTTGGCCGAACATGAAATTAAACGTGCGATAATAAATGGTAAGTTGTCATATTCAAAACGATTTGTTCGATACCATTGTCCGATACACACGAAAGAAAAAAAACATCTGGATATGTTTCGCCATTTCAGTTACTGCCTATTTTAAGGGGAACAATTGGAAAGTACATCCTGATTGGGTGTACTGTGAATATAGTTCGACTTCCGAAAAATGGTTCCCATCCCCCGAAGAACGAGTTCTGCATTTTTTGGCACGAACACGAAATCCGGGGTGGAAATGGAAGTCCTTGAGACCAAAGAGTCCGATCTCGCTTCATAAGCAAGCGAGCAAGCCTGACAAAGATGCTTATTATTGTAAGCATTGTCTACTATTCTTTTCTATCCTATACAATTTACAGTATAGCATGCAGTTATAGGTAAACTTATTCCTACAATAAATAGCAGATGATACGATTTTCGTTGGTTTTGTAGGTGATAAAAAATTAGTGCAGTCCCTCGTGTTGGACGCGTTGGTCACCGATGGTTTCGACAAAAGAGGTGCGATGCACAAAGAAGAATATCAAAGGTAAGTAGCTGGCGCGAATGGAACTCGCGCGGATGCATGTCCTCCATGCGCGGACACTTATAGTGGAAATATTGACAACGCACTGCAATGCACAAGCAAGCACGCGGTTTTTTTTTCACGCACCGACTATCGAATAACATATCTTATTGGATATCGTAAAACCGCTGCCTCTACTTTTCCCCTACCGTTGAATCGCATAGTCGTGTTGCGAACGAAATCCAACATTACATGATAATCAAGGAACTATCGTAAACAAAGCAAATAAAAGAGAAAGAAAGGGAAAGTGCCGAACGGGATTAAGGCGATGTCAGCGATGAAAAAGAAGAGTGGAATGAAGAAGCAGCGGAACGAAAGATTAAGGATAGAAGAGAATAGAAGAAGATATAAGTCAAATGGTTCCTAACTCTTTCAAGTGTTTAAAATTGCCTCCCTATGAGCTTAAGTAAGAGCAAAAATATTTATTTATTTATATATCTATATATTATATAAATAAATATTATTATTATTGTATATATACATATATATATATGCATATAAGTATATTCGTTTTGTAGCGTTTTTCGTTTAAACGCGACACGTACTATGCTCAACGGCTAATCTCTTTCATTTAAAATGCTCTTTTATCGCATATTTTTATTACATTTTATATTGTGTGTCTCCACCGCTAGCCCTATTGCCATACTGATGGCTCTACTGCACAGGTAATCCATTATGCACAATTATTTGTATAAGCGCACTCGTCGATATTGCACGGAGATCTTTTCCTAAATGTCGTTTTCATCGTTCACGATACCTGCAGAAACTTTCCTTATCGTCCGATATCCCTTTCGTCGTTATTTTCGTATTTTTCTTGATTCGGTAATCGACGATTAACATATGTTCTTCAACAGCTGTAAAAGTACTACACCAATCTTCTTTCTTCTTCTGAAGAACATGCGAAATCGCGAAGTTACATCGTGCAATACACATTCCATTTTCGAGCAAATAAAACGGAACGTTAAAAATCAGAGAGTCAGAAAATGAATAGGTAGTCGTTTTGATTGTATGTACATCGAGTTTATGCCCGTGTGTACACAAAAATACGTGTATGTACGTATTATCTCTTCACGTTGTTACGCGGGATTCGTTCATATTCATCGTTGAATATGAAAGTAACAATATCTTGTGCTGTTTTATACTTTCTTGCGTCATTTATCCTTTCGTATTTTATTACACCCCATGTAACTGCTTTCACGTTTACAGTCAAGGAAAAAGTACATTTGATGTAACACGGAGTTTCATCGCAACTAGAAGTGGTCTATTCCGTTGGCACGAACATCAACAAAGCGAAGAAACCAACGATCAACCGTAAATATCAAACACTCGTTATTTCATTTTTATATTTTGATTGAATTCTGTCATTTCTTGTTCCATTCTTCCATTTTCATTTCCATTAATATTCAATTTTTACAACGTCGAAGAATTTTTAGAAAGAAAAATCTTATTGTTTGTTTAGACTATTTGCCGAGAAATATGCGAGAGCTATGGATTCTTCGTGGTACAAACGAGCTGTGGATCAACATTTTATAGAACCGGAAAGTTTTGTTTTTAGTGTGCCTTTCGATGCCGGTAAGCAGTTGATCGTACCAATGGATAAAATATTTCTTCAGGCATAGAAAAAATATTTCATCCTTCTTCTATTTTTACTCTCTTTCTTTCTTCTGTTCCGTTAACTTTGATTACATTTGGTTATATACATGATAAATTTGATATTGCAACCCAGCCGACAATCCTAATCCACTGGTCACCGCAACTCACGCCGTTTTCATTGGGACGGGACATAAAGCACCAGCAGCAGTTGTAGGTTTACAGTTTCAACATTCTTCCTTGGCCTCTCGCTTCGTCAACATTACCTCGACGGTAAAATTGTATCAAACATCGATTACTCGTTGTTTCTGCTCTCGATTGATTCTCAAAATCACGAACCATTGATAAAAAGCAAAGATGTGTCGTGGTCCAAATGCTCAGCATTTAATAATAATTTTCTCTCGTCTTTTAGTGCAGTGACACGAACTGTAAGAAAAATTGCGCTTCCGATGCACTAGACTGCTATGTCTTAGACAATAACGGATTCATTATAATTAGCGAACGTCATGAGCACACGGGAAAATTCTTTGGCGAAATCGACGGTACTATTATGGATTCCCTGGTTCAGGATAGAATTTATAGGTATAAATGTTAAAATGTAGTAATAAAAGGAAACGTGTAAAAGATAAGCAATGGAAGAGTCTCTGCTGATATACATCTTGTTGCTTAATTTCAGAAAAGTAACAGTGACCGATTATCAGGGCATATGTAGTCCACAAGAGTCGCATCAATCGGCTGCACCGAAAACCTTTTCAGAATCTATCACAACAACGATCGCGATATTGGGAAATTTTCTTTGGAGTATGGCGTTTGGTTTTAACTTTCAAAATTTATGGCAAGTTGCTTTCGCATTCGCTGGCGAATCTGCGAAGCCACTGGATGGTAAGTTGTACAATATTTGTGTGTTTGATCTAACAAAAGGAACAATTTTCCAGAGCATGCGGATTCCGGTATATTAACGATACGAATGCGAAAGTATAACGTATACAAAAATATCTATCGTGTATATGATTCTAGAAGACACGATCCGAGAAGTTCACGAATTTGGATCATTAGCGATAGGCGGGGACTCGACTGATGAACCAACATCGGAAGGAAATGAAGCATTTCCGAGGCTTCCAACAATTGTTGCTGCAACCCCTGCCTCTCCTGGGACTACGCGAGCTACATCTGCTCATTATCCTCAGAGAAAGCTAAGAACCTGCGAGAAAAAGACGGATCTTTATATTTTACAACCCGAAAGGTTGAATACTAGCGGACAAAGCAATCCGTTGAAAGGAAAATTAACTAACTGTCATGATACCGGTTGTGAGAGGTACGTACTTATCCTTCAAGATGTGTATATGTATATGTAACGCTGGTTCTTCGATAAGAAGTTAAAAATTCGTTTTCCTCTTTCGTTTTCTTTTTTTCGAAAGAAAGTTTTCATAATGTTTAAATGTTTAAACCTTTATTTATTAACAATTATGTATTTATCGCTTTGAAACTTGTCGAAGACTATAATTTGAAGTTCTATAGATTAACTTAACGTCGTTCTTCCACTATTCGATTTTATATTTTTGCAGGCCATTCAGCGTACAAAAAGTTCGTCATACAAATTTGATTTTGCTGGTAGTAGACACATTATGCCCATGTGGAAGTAAGCAATTGAGCATCGAGCCTATAGAGGCCCTAATAGAGCCTGGTGCTTGTACTGCAAGAAGAGAGCGTTTGTATCGTCGTAGGCCTCCAAAATGTATAAACTATCATCCGGAAGAGATGGAGATAAAATTTTGCGGTAGCGCGAGTCGTCCTTGTCATTTCTTCTTCACGTTGGCTATCGCGATTGTCTCGAGTACTATCGCGACAAGGCTTGCGTGACTTTATTCGAATTGATTGTACACATATGCGCGCCACATACACATTTACACATATTTACACACAGGCAGACATACACATACTCACGAATTAACGTTTTTGAAATGAATTTAGCGTTGCCGTTTCTATGAAACAGTTATGAAAATGGTATACTAGTTGATCGGTTTAATACCTTTATGTATAATTGACAAATACGTGCATACGAGAGAACGAACGAGTGCATACGTACGCGCGTGCGTGCGTAAGCACATGCGTGCGTGCGTGCGTACGTGCGTACGTGCGAGAACAGGATAAATTTATGTGCGTAAACTACACAGACACATAAAATACGTGTAAGTATGAACATTAATTTATACGCGTTCACGTACCTACATATGCACTCTATGTGTACGCAACAATCACAAGTATGCGCATGATCGCGCCTTCAATAGGCACGCGTGTGCATGCATACAGAGAGACATGTACATATCCAAATACATAATATTAATGTTGATCTATGATTACATATCCCATTATAAATTTTGTTGCGAAAAATTGTGAATATTTCCTAATCGTATTACGTCGAATCTAAGTCGTAACATGTAAAGCAAAACGATTAAATCACATGTAATCGCGATACATATTCGAATAGAGTGGGAACGACAATACGCATAAATGTTTATTAAGATCTCTTGATAACCCGGCTATAATCGTGGCAAGAAGCGCAATCGTTTTTTCCTTTTTCCATTTTCTATCATTTGAACAAATTAATCGTGCTAAATGAAATATTAGATTTATTTATATTTCGATTTAACTGTAAATGTAGTATTACCGTCGTTTCCATACTTTCTGAAATCGGTATAGGTATCTACTGCTAATCATTTATAAATCATATGCATGTACGAACAATCCACGAATTTGCGACAATTTAACAGTCCATAATGCTCCGAGCGCGCGTATTATTAGTTGGTAACCGAAAGTTGCGCCAAATTGTTCTTATTTCGTGAAAACATGCTCGATGTACGAAAAAAGAACGATTCGAAGTATTGGATTCACTGTGATTCACGTTATACAATCGCAGCATTCGATACCCGTGTAAGTCGGAGGAAGCAAATCAGACTTACATTACGGTTCAAGTCATCCGAATTCTCAATGTAATTGTAAAAAAATATCGATTTCACGTTTCTTAAATTGTACTATACGTAAGTACGTCTTTCCTGGACAAACGATATTGCAACAAAGGTATCCTGTGTTACAGGACCTGATGTTGGATTTTGATATCACGCTTAGAATTATTTCATTAGGTGTTGATATCTCTCTCTTTCTTCTATTCTTCTTTTTCGAATTTTACGCGATTACTAAAAATACTGTGAAAAAATGATCACGCATGGTTCTACGATATAACATTCAAATTACCGTTTATAACTCCGCAAAGGTGTAATAAACTACATTCACCATAAGTTTAGGAACTGGCGAACACGGATGGAATATTCGGCGCGAAGCTTGGAGCAAGTACCGGCTAGAAAATCAACCAATGTAGCATTTTCTTTTTATTAAAATTTAAGAGAACCTAAACCGTAACGTGTTTCCGAGAAACTATCAATTTCAAATGTATGAAAATATTAAAGATACGTGTATGTATCGATTATATAACGGCGATATACGTGCATAGAAATATGTGTATATGTACGTAAATATATCATCAGACTGGATAATGTGTTATATCTGAAAACAGAGATCAAGATAGGATAAAGAAAAGAAGAGAAGAGAAAACAAAATTTGTGGATGTATAATGTTGCGTACATAAATGCATATACATACGTCGTTTATACCTTTCCTGTACGTATACGTGTATCGTAAAATGACGCAGTGCGTCGTGAAAACTTCAAATACTTCGAATAGTCTAACGAAACACAAAATACGGAATATAAAATACGGATGCAATTCGTATTTTCAATCAAATTGAATTAAAAACATCATAATATTCTATTATTACATATCTCGCAGTTTGTTTATCTACGATAATTTAGTACATTGTTTACGAATATGCGATTAGAGATGTACCGCTCTT